ACCTAAGGACCTTCCACTAGGCCCTACCTCCTAAAGATTCTACCACCTCTCAGTAGGGCCACCCTGGGGAACAAGACTTTAATACACGGACCTTTGGTGAACATGTATTTGAACCATATCTTTCATTGATGCAAATCCGTATTCACTCCATGAGCATTTACTGAACATCTTCCCTGTACACAGCACAGGAATCTAGGTGCAATCTGCCCAGGTTTGTGTGGTGGTGTCTCCAATCAGAGKCTTGCCTATCCACATGTGCTAAAACTACCCCTAAAAATATTGATGTTCACCCTCAAATTTACCAAGGCCCAGAAAGCAAGGGTGGAGTTTCCTTTCCCCACCATCCTTACTTTAGCCCCACCCCAGTGCTGAAATTCACAGCACTGACCCACGTTTTATTGTTTTAGCTATTTAACTTCCTGCTTGCCCACAAGACTATGAAGATGGGACTAGGTTCCCATTCCACCCTCAGGATTAAGTATACAGAAGGCCCTTAATAAATGTATGTTATATATTTGCTGCATGAATTTCTCTGTGAGTGCAGAAATTTCTTGTACATAAGGTCTGCCAATGTAATCACAGTCTCTTGGCTGATTTGAGAGGAGCTTTTCTGGGCCACACACTTGCTGAACTTTCTTTCCTCAGCTGTTTAAGCCAGCTGCATCTGTTAGTAACTAGAATGAGTATGTGACAGGGTAAGCCTCTTGTCAGAGCAGGGTGGGAATATCTAGCACATAGAGGGCCAGGTGCTATTCATTTTTCTTTATCAGTTGTTGTGGGTAAAATGTTCTTTCAGATGTGTAGGCCAAACTTTATTCAGCCGCACAACTGTGGAAACTCATGCTATTATGGAAGAATCCAATCTGAGCCCAGGAACAAAAGGCAGATAATGAGCATATAAACAGCTGTATATTTCAACTCCCAGAAACCTCTTTAAGGATAAAAAACTATTTCCCTCCTTTTTGCACTGGGGATTGAACACAGGAGTACTTTGCCATTAAGCTACATCACAAGCATTTTTATTATTTTGAAACAAGGTCTAAGTTGCTTAGAGCCTTGCTAACTTGATGAGGCTGAACTCAAAACTTGTGATCTTTCTGCTTCAGCCCTCCAAATCACTGGGATTACAGGTATGTGCCACCCTGCCTGGCAAGGAACTAGTTTTAATAATGTATCTCATTCAAGGTTTCATGATAACTGTGGCAGGAATGATTTTCCCTGCACAATAGTGATGGCTAATGGCTCCTATCCCTGTCTTTTCTGCCAAAAAACCGCCCAAGCATTTCTTTGATTCAACACTATTATAAGCAACATATTTGTTTATAATACTTATCATTCATATATATATATCTTACATAAGGGTTGCAAAGATAGAACTCCTTAGTGATCACCAATCTGACAATTGGAGTTTTGGTCTCTCATGACCTTGCTACATTTGAACAGTATTTGTCAGGTATTTTGTAAAATGTCCTCAACTTGGGTTTGTATGATGTTTTTCCCATGATTTAGATTGAGGTTGTGGATTTGAAGAAAGACTATCACAAATGTGACGTACACTTCTCAAATCATATTTTGGGGTACTTGATATAGTTTTATTAGAGGTGATTCAAACTTTGATCACTTGGCTAAGTGGGGGCTACCAGGTTTCTCCACCTTTCCTTTTTTATATCCATGGAGTATTTTTATTTTATTTATTTTCTATTTTTTAAAAGATTTTTTAGATGTTGATGAACCTTTATTTTATTCATTTATTTATATGTGGTGCTGAGAATTGAACCCAGTGCCTTACACATGCTAGGCAAGCACTCCGCCACTGAGCCACAGCCATAGCCCCATAGAGTATTTTTAACCTGTAGGATAACTCTATAGGTTTGATTAACCCCACTTAAGACAAATTTGTTGTATTTTTAGTTAAATCACTGAAAACTCACAGAATGTAAATAGATTATCTATTTTATTTAACAAATAAGGAAACCAAAGCCCAGAGAGGCTTGATGGCATGGTCAGGATCAGTGAGACCCCACCTCTAAATAAAATATAAAATAGTGCTGGGGATGTGACTCAGTGATTGAGTGCCCCTGCTTATTGTAGAACCAAGCCCCAGGTCCCTTGACTTGCAATGAAGAAGCAAATGCATGACCGAGATTTCATTAATGGAATTAGGTATAAGATCTCCAGATCCTCACTTAGTCATGGCTTCCTTCCTTAATTAGGGAGGAATCAATACCATCAGCACTGCTGGAAACAACTGTCAAGAAACAGTTGCCCAACTCTGTGTGACTTGCCACAGCACTGCAACCTTTAGCAAGGAAGGTTATAAAACGAGCAGATCAGATATCAGGTGCCAATGTCTCCTTATCTGTATTTCTCCTAGAACGCTGCTGTATTCCATTGTTTGTGGCTAATTTGGTAGTCTGTTTCCAGTGTTGCTACTGATAGCTTCCTACCCCACGTCCACCAGGCTGAGAAGTTATTTTAGTTAAAGTGCCTTCTGGAATTTTGCTAACCATTTGAAGGTTTTAGTAAGTGAAAATCTAAAAATCAGAGTGGAATGCTTGATATTGTCATAAATCTCATTACCCATAAGGTTTTTACGTGTGGTTAACTATGAACTAAAAACCATGTAGCTCTAGCTGGGCTTAGTGGTGCGTGCCTGTAATCCCAGTGGCTTAGGAGGCTGAGGCAGGAGGATCACAAGTTCAAAGCCAGCCTCAGCAACTGCGAGGTGCTTAGCAACTCAGTGAGACCCCGTCTCTAAATAAAATATAAAATAGGGCTGGGGATGTGGCTCAGTGATTGAGTGCCCCTGAGTTTGATCTCGGTACAATGTACCCCTCCCTCCCCCCCCAAAACAAAAAAACATATAGCTCTAAGGGAAGGGATGTAGCTCAGTTGCCTAGCATGTGTAAGGCCCTGGTTTTGATCCCCAGAACCATATAAATAAAATAAATAAATACCCTCCAGATATTTGTGTTTTGATTGCTTCTGCTGCCTATCATTATGATTTACTGATATTGAAGGAGATGTGAAAGTGAAAGTGAAGGAATCCTGCAGACTGAATTCTGTTGTTTTCCCTAAACCAAGGGAATTCTTCTATGTAATCATAGCACAACCAGGACAATTACTACGCAATCAAAAGATTCCATCCAAAATGTTGCCAAACTGTCCCAATAATGTTCTTTATAGGTCCAGAATCCAATCCAGGATCACAACTAGGGTCATGTCTCTTTAGTCTCCTTCAATCTGGAACCATTCCCACCTGTGTTTTTGTGTGGCCTTCATGTTTTGGAGAGTATATGTTCTTTGAATTTGAGTTTGTTTTGTTATAACTTTTCTTAGATTAAATTACTCAGTAAATATTTTATCAAAACATTTCCGTTGATACATGTAGGTTAATCTTTAATGGTTGCAAAATATTCCACTACATGGAGGTACTATATTTGGCAAATCATCTATTAAAGGAGGGATGTTACATTTATTTCCAATTTTCTATAGTATAGACCACATTGCAGTTAGTAGCTCTGACCATTTATCTGAAGTGGAACTTCTAGGCTATAGTATGCAAATTTACAATTTTGATACTGCTGCAATCCTGAAAGATGATACTTATTTATAATTTTGTCAATGATGCACAAGAGTGCCTATTTCCCACACTCCCATTAGAACAGGACATTTTCATTCTTTTTTTGGTACTGGGGATTGAACCCAGGGGCACTTAACCATTGAGCCACATCTACAGGCCTTTTTATTTTGCGACAGGATCTCAATAAGTTGCTTCGGGCCTTGCTAAATTGCTGAGACTAGCTTTGAACTTGAGATTTTCCTGACTTAACCTCTCAAGCCACTGGGATTACAGGTGGGTGCCATAGCACCCAGCTTTCATTCTTTTTAATCTTGGCCCATCAGGCAAAAAATAATTTATTTGATTATTAATAAGGCTGAGCATCTTACATATGCTTATTTTGTCTGTTTAGTTTCTTTTGTGTTTATCTTTGCCCACTTTCCTGTTGGATACTTTCTGTTTTTAAGTGAATTTGTCAATTTATTGCTTGTCTTTTAAGTCTTGAAGGACAGATAAATTATGGATTCATTTGAGCTTTGCTACAATATTTGTTGAAACAATTTAATTTTCTCACATAAAATCCTGTTTCCTGTGAAAACATATCAAGAATTAGCTACTAGATAACTGAATATTGGTAGGTCAACTCAGCTGCACATGGATCTCTGGTATATAGCTTTCCACATAGAAGGCAGGTAAAGTATGAGAAGCAATAAGAGCAGAAAACAAAAACACCAGACAATATTTCTCTGTTGTAAAATGTTTCAGTATAGATTTGGGTCAAGGCAGAGCATTTCCTCACTAACTTTAATAGTTCCTGTTTTCTTTCTTCCTCCAAAGATATTTTAATGGAATAACAGACATGAAATAAATGTTTGTCTAAAAGATAGGTCTTAATTATTAAACTTTAATTGCTATTAAAAACCATTATTTAGGCCTGGGGATATAGCTTGATAATAAAACACTTGCCAAGCATGTTTAAGAATATGGGTTCAATATCTAGCACTACAAACAGCAACAACAAAACCCCCATCATTAATAAAAATAACAATACAACAATAAAACCCCATCATTTATATTAGGAAAGAGCATTGGTTTTCAGGCTATGTTTTATTTTAGGTTGGCAAGGGAAAACTGAAGCTAGTATTCATGACTTCAGTTAATTTAGGAGTCTTCTTTTTTCCTTAATTGCAAAACATACACAAATAGGAGCAAAGGATACACATGTAGCTATGTCAGCTTTCATTTGGTGCAAAATTCAAACCTCAACTAATACAGTTAAATGTGACCATCAGAAATGTACAATGTTTACTGCATTTGGGCAGATTCCTATGTCAGAAAAATAAAATTAGAAATAAATACATGCTACCCTCACTTTAAAAATTTTTTTTAGTTGTAGATGGATACAATATCTTTATTTTTATTTGTTTATTTTTTATGTGGTGCTGAGGATTGAACCCAGGGCCTCATGCATGTGAGGCAAGCACTCTACCACTGAGCTACAACCCCAGTCTCCTATATTCACTTTTTAATCAATATAATCTATCAGTTAACCAATCACAGCCAACAGTTACTGAAAGTCAAGTGTAAAGGTGCTCTAGCAGATATAAGAGAAATATAACATGCTTTTAACAGAGAATCTATCAAGAAAAGACAGACATACTTGAGACATTATGGTACAATCCCTGAGAATGCATAATACACCACAATTATATGTGGGACAACATTTCAGAGAATGGCAAAATCACTGCTAATGGGCACTGAAGAGTTGGGGTGCTAGGGTGGTTACAGTGTGTGGAAAAGTGAGATTTGAATTGGGTCTGAAAGGGTGGTAAGATTTGTCTGGGTGGAGGGAGGATGCTACAGCTCAGGGAGGGGAAGGCACAGAGGTGACATTTTAAGTAGCTAAGTGGAGGAAGACTGATAAGAAAGTGTGCATGCTGAGAGTACTGAGGAGTTGAGGCTGTTCCAACAGATGCTGTGGTAGGCAACAGAAAATTATTGGGGTCTCCAGAGCAGAGATCATTGTGATCCAACTGGTATGTTGTAATGTTCTACTCCATGCCAAGCTATATTGGAGCCTGAAGCAAAAGGAAAACTCAATAATCCTGAGGCTATCTTTATAAAAGATTTTGATGTTTTGTTCAGCATGACTTTTACAATAATTACAATTTTTAAAAATAGTACATTAAAATACTTCTTATCATGCCTGAAGCAAGTGCCTCACTTGTCTTCTATTCCCAGCCTTGTTCTCTATTTTTGAAGTTCAGTGGTGAGGACATGGGTATTTATTGCATTATTATTAATTAGAGCTTACTCATTTTTTTAGAGTTTACTCATATTATCAATATCCTTAGGCAAGTAGACAGTATTTAATAAAAACAATCAAATAATTTAAATTTTAAGAAGATTAATTTAGAACTTTTGAGCCTGAGAAGCAGGAAAGGGAAAATAATCCTTTGTGCTCCTGAGTAAATCTCTAGGGCAGAACAGGTCCCCACTGTTGTAGGGTATGCAGTACACACAGAGAGGGTTATCTTAACCATGTCAATGTAGGCAAACGATAACTGTGGCACCAGACACTATTGTCCATTTGGAGACTGGGCAACTTCCCTGCTGTAGCCAGAGTGAATCTGCCACATTGGCCTGAGGCAAGCCCAATAAATGGGCCACTTGGGTAGGCTTGGCACACCTAAAAATCCATCCAGTCCTGCTCAAAAAGAGGCCACTCACTGGCCCACAGAGCTTACCACAGGGCCATAGTCCAAGAGGCAAGGAAAATTCACCAACTCTATCAATGTCTCAGGGCTTTGCAGGTATGTAGGAAGAGTCGTATTTGTAAAAAAGAGTCTCAATCATTAATCATCTTAAAATATGAAATCTATTGTCCATTAGTATATAAGTGACTAATGCAAGATTATTTTTAGCTAAGGAAACCAATTAGATTGCAGCACAAATCTTAAAAGAGGCCAAGGGAAGAACTGAAAAGATGCAGGCAGCTCCTTCTGAGCAACACCAGGGGAGCTTCTTTGTCATTTGATGTGGACCTCCCAGTCACAGCCAATATTCAGTGAAAGCTTCTCCAGGTTCAGGGTGGATGTTTTGTCACAATACATAAAAGCCACAGGCTGATCTTTACCATCTACATAGCAAGACAAAAAAAAAAAGAGGAAAAGTTTGACATATACTTAGGAGGGAAAAAATATATTCTTCAAATCTGACATATTTTCTGACTCTATCATAAAAACTTACTTAGAAGAATCTAATTTTTGTGTTTGCCTATGTGTGGTGCTGGGGACAGTACCTAGGGCCTTGCAGGCAACCTTGCCAGGCAAGCTCTCTACCCTGAGCTACATATCTCGCCTGAGAATCTAATTTAATAGCACTTAATTTTTTTTAGTTATAAGTAGATATAATACCTTTATTTAATTTATTTATATGTGGTGCTGAGGATCGAACCCAATGCCTCACATGTGCTAGGTGAGCACTCTACCACTGAGCCACAACCCCAGCCCTAATAACACTTTTTTTTTTTAAGAGAGAGAAGAGAGAGAGAGAGAGAGAGAGAGAGAAGAGAGAGAGAGAGAGAGAGAGAGAGAGAGAGAGAGAGAGAGAGAATTTTTTAAATACTTATTTTTCAGTTTTCAGTGGACACAACATCTTTATTTTATTTTTATGTGGTGCTGAGGATCTAGCCCAGCGCCCCGCGCATGCCAGGCAAGTGCGTTACCGTTTGAGCCACATCCCCAGCCCCCTAATAGCACTTTTACTCATGAATTTCTATGCCTTTTTTTAAACCATGAAAAACCTTCATTGTTTTGAATACAGCCCTGGTTGAAAAGACAGTTTGACAAAGTGATGTGCCCAAGAAATTCAGTAGGTATGGAAGGATATAATTCCCATCCTATGCCCCTCCATAAACTCCATCAACATGGGCAGGATTCACCAAGGCTTCAGATATCTAGATTTTTTAAAATTTGTTTTTAGTTGTAGATGAACCATAATACCTTTATTTTATTTTATTTATTTTTATGTGGTGCTGTAGATCAAACCCAGTGCCTCACATTTGCTAGGCAAGTGCTCTACCACTGTGCTCCAGCTCCAGCACCCAGATATCTACAGATTAAAAAAGCATTCAGAAATACCTAAACTACTAAGTCAAGCCCCAAACAATTTCCCTTAGAAAAAATAAGGCAGGAAGCAAGAAGAAAGACCAGAATGGTCTTACTCACTACAGAGACTAGAATACTTGACCTCCACCAGTAAGTGCAGAGTCCATTAGAGCTAGACTCATGTTAGTTTAGAAACTAAGCATTTCCTCATGGCAGACACTTTCATGTTTACAAAAACAAATGCTGAGGTAAGAATGAACTGTTTCCTCACCAGATGAGTGGGTAGTCACAGAAGATGGCTTCTTCTTGAGGCCTAAGAACAAGATCTGCTCCACCACACATTTGCTGAGATAACGACCCCTCTCATCTGCACAACTGGAATAGATATAAATGGATTTAGGAGAAGAAGGATGGGGATTTGAATTAGTCACAGGTCAAAATCTCTTATGAGTTCCCTTCCATCTGTCCCTATGGAGTCATGATTCATTCAGGGTCTTATTGACTATGATGAAGAGATTAAAAAAGATGACTCTATGCCAAGGACTAACAAACCACTGGCCAAATCAATCTCCCTTTAACACCATTTGAGAAAATCACAGAAGTACACAAAAATCACAAATGTAACTGGGATATTGTAACAAATTATAAGAAATCAGGCACTTAATGAGTTGGTGGAAGGAATTATAAAAGCCCAAATTGCACTTTTTTTTAGTTTTTAGGTATTGGGGAATGAAATGAACATTAAAAAAGGAACACGCATGGAAGAGTAACTGAAAAATGTCCCAATTCATTTCTTTAAATAATAACCAAAAACAGCAATGCATTTATTTGAGGATGCCTAAATATAGTATAAGTTATTTAAAAAAAACACATAGCTTCTTTAGCTGCTATTACCTGTTGATCAAAACACTGGAACAGAATGAAAATTTTCTGTGCAAGAATTGGTTCTGGTGGAGATACTGAAATGAATGGCCATCGTCGAGATATAACTCCCCCACTGCAGAACCCTGTTAAGTGAATCAGGGAACATGTTTTATGTAATAGGAAAAGAATGTCATCTCCCAAAGGGACATAATTTTGAAAATGTGAAAACTTATGTCAAACAAAAACTTAGATTTGCTACAGTTTGAATATGGAATGTCCCCAAAGTCCCATGTGTTGGTCCTCAGCCCATGGTGTTATTGAGAGGCACAGGAACATTTAAGAAGTGGGATATAGTGGTGGTCTTAAGGTCATTGGGATTGTGCCTTTTGAAGGAGACTGTGGGGACCCCTGGGTGGCTCTGCTCTGCCATGTACTCCCCATCATGATGTGCTACCTCACCTAGGCCCAAAAGCAATGAGGCCAACTGAAATATTTTCCAAAAGTGAGCTAAAATAACCCTTTTATTTTTATAAGTTAATTATCTCAGGTATTTGTTTTAGCATAGAAAGTTAACTAGCAATATTTAAGCTGCACAAAGTAGTCATACAAATATCTAATATATTCAATACCCAATCACTCTCAAATAGATAATGAAACAATATGAATAGAGAAGTCACATAAGAGGTGCACGAAGAATTAAACCTTGTTGGAAGAAATTTAAACTGTGAAGTATGGTCAGGGGCATCACTGAAAACACTATCCCAGAATGTGACAACAAGGTCAAGAAGGTTCACAGAATGAAACTGATGTTAAAAAAAAAAAAAATCAGAATATAATGGATGAGGATCAACTATCTCTAGATCTTCCATTTCGAGAAAGGTATCTGGTGCCTACTCTTTTCGGCAGAAGGGCCCCTTTGCATATCATACAATGTCATAGCACTCCATATGGCAGATTAAGATTATTGGCAATACTTGATGTGCAATGGATCTCTAGTATTTTGCATTTATTCTGGGATTTCACATGGGTCCCAAATCCCTAGTTTGGCCCACAAAGACATGCCTAAATGAAACAGAAAAGAAAGCTATAACTTAATTATTTTACAATGCTAATATAAAATAAAGATAAGTATTATTATAATATGAGTAAAAATTTATATTTGGCCCTATATTTTGGCACACGGCCAGGAGAGAAGTCTGATACAGGTTTCATATGGCTTAAAAGATCTTCTTAAAAGGACAAATCAGATCTCGATCCTACCAGGCTTTACTCAGGGAGATTTCAGTTGTTTGAGTTACCTGATGAGAAGTCATTTAGTGGGGTTGGGGTCCCTGAAAGTGGTCCATAGTCACAGGTACCCTTCTGTGAGAGAATGAGTTTCAGAGCTAATACACAGCCTATGATCTAATGAACTTTTAGCCCAGCAGTAATCACTGCTCAGCTAAAAAGAACCAACAGTCAACTGTTCAAGAAAGACATTTTCCTCTTTCTCCAAGTTCTTTTAAGACAATTCCAAGAAGGGCAGACTAGCTAGGTAATAATTCAGAAATTATTTAAAACTTTGATTTCTAGATAAACTCTAGAAGTACCTATCTCCATAGGTGGGGCTCACCACTTTTACATGCTATCAGACTTTTTGAAAGACTATAAAGAGACACAGAAGTAATAAAAAGTGTAACCTGTTTTCCCAAATACCTCAGTGCTGACAGCAACCCGGAGTCCAAATGAGGAATTAGTCATCCAGCCTGTGGATTTTCCTATCGTTGTCTTTATTGGTACCACACTTCCACCGCGTTGAAATACTGGTATCTACAGCACAGCAACAATATCAGGAAAGGTATTTGTATAAGGAAATTTCAAAGTAGAATTTAAAAATATTTCATTATATAAGATTCCACTCTTTATAAGTACAGACTCTAGGGCAAGATAAATTTGTGGGCACAGAGGTAGTATATGTGGGGATCCTGGCATTAAAAGGAAAGAGCACAGCAACAAAAAAATGGTTCAATTTCCAATTACTAGGGAAGCTGACTACCCTTCATTAATTTATCACATATACTTGTTTTTGCTGCTTTTTCTTTTTCTTTTCTTGTTTTCTTTGCAGACTGGGAACTGAATCCACGGTCCTGCACATGAAGGCAAGTGCTCTACCACTGAGCTTCATCCTTAGCCCTTTGTGGGACGTAGTCTTGCTAAGTTGTCCAGGCTGGCCTGGAACCTGTGATTCAGCCTCCTATGTAGCTGGGATTACAGGTGTGCACTAACATGTCCAGCTACTGTTTTTTCTTTTAAATGATGAATTTTATTTTGCACACTCTATAACTGGCCTTTCCTATGTTGTAGTTTAACATTCTCATAAATTATAATAAACATGTTTACTTCTAGAGCCTTGCTAAAGACTTAATTTTTCTAAGTGGTGTATGTATGTATATGTAAAGTATTTCTTGGTTTGGGGAGATGACTTTTGTTCTTTATCACTGTACCAGAATACTTTTTGCTCTCTGTTTCTCTGGATCACCAGAATGACTGACTCAATTTTGAGGGTGGATTTGTGAAACTGCTTCTGTTATAGCTGGGCATGGTGGTGCATACCTGTAATCCCAGAGGCCCAGGAGGCTGAGGCAGGAGGATTACAAGCCTGAGGCCAGCCTCAGCATCTGAGCAAGGCCCTCACCAATTTAGGGAGACCCTATTCAAAAAAATAAAAAGGGCTGAACATGTGACTCAGTGATAAAGCACCTCTGGGTTCAATCCCCAGTACCCCCCCCCCCAAAAAAAGAAAAAAAACCTCAACCACCACCAAAAAAGCAAACACCCCCCCCACAAACTGCTTTTCTTATACATATCATCAAGGGTAATTTAAGTGACTCTAACAACATCATGTGGGCATGGCCCTCAGCTCTCAATCTTCTGGAATGCCACTTGGCAGGGAAAGCCTGGTAAGAATCACATGAGGACTTGTACTTTGCTGTGGTAAAGTGTTAGCAAGGAGAAGAGTAGAAGAACATATATGAAGTTGATAGTGAGGATGAAGTAGTTAAAATGTCCCCCATACCTAATTCGCAGTAGGCAACAAGAAGTAAATAACATCTTATTCCTCCCCACATCTCCCTCTCTAATTGGCCAATCTCTCTGTTCTGTTTTTCTTCATTTTTTTTTTTGGCTTGTTTGTTTGTTTTTAAGAGCACAGTGTTAAGTTAAAGTGGAATGGGCTCTAGATGAGGAATCAGCAGACTTGGGAGCTTGTCTCATTTCTCCCAAGATTTCTCCTACAATCCAGCTGTCATCCTGGACAGATAAGTTACCTGTAAGTGTAAGGTATTTAAGTAGATGATTATTAAGGTTTTTCCTCTAGATCTGAAAGTTAATATCCAAAATAACTTTCTTTGTTTTTAATACCTTTATTTAATTTATTTATTTTTATATGGTGCTGAGGATCAAACCCAGTGCTTCACATGTACAAGGCAAGTATTCCATCACTAAGCCACCACCCAGCCCCTGAAATTATTTTCTGTATAAAAAAATCACTGCTGATAATTTAAAAAAATCACATCACTGCCTATTTATTTATTTCACTCTACTCAGGGACTATGATAGTGCTATGATTTAGCTATAGGAAGGAACTTCCCTTTGGAAACTCAAAACAGCCTGGATAGGCAGGCCCCTTTGATGCTAACATCATACTGATATTACTCCCTTGGGCTGAGAGGCCCAGGATCATGCCTGAAAACTCATGTTTTTAACTTAGTCTTGTAGAAGGACATTCTATATGGCATGCGTTATAATCACTGCATTTTCTGTTTTTAATATTACTTTCCTTAGACACACAAATGTAAACATATGGGTAAGAGTTGTTTTTATCCCTGATATTTCATACCATGAAATCTGAGTATATATATTTTAAGACATTTTTCTTCACATTTTAACAGCATTATTGATATAATCATATATATTTCACATTTAGAGTATACAGTTAAACAGGCTTCAGTATATTGGTCTTGCAACCTTCACCACTATTGATTTTAGAATATTCTGATACCCAAAAAAGAAATCTGTACCAAGTAGCAGTCACTCTTCATCATACCCCAATTCCTTGCCCTGTCCCAGCCCTAAGCAACTACTTACTAATCTACTTTCCGTTTCTATATGTATATGTTATTATGCAGAACACTAACATTCTTGGTTTTATGATACAGGCACACAATATAGACTGAAGGTCAGTATCCCCCTAAAATTCATTCGTTGAAGTCCAGTCCCCAAGGTGATTATATTTGGAGATAGGACCTCTTTGGAGATGATTATGTAAAATGAGATCACAGTGGTGAGGCCCTGATACGATAGGAATAGTGTCTTTATAAGAAGAGACAGGAAGGGGTTAGGGCTGGGCCTCAGTGGTAGAGTACTTGCCTAGCACATGTGAAGCACTGGCTCAGATCCTCAGTACCACACAAAAATAAAGGTATTGGGTCCATCTATAACTAGAAATATATTTTTTTAAAAAAGGAGAGACAGAAAGAAGTGCCTCATTAGGAACTGCATCAACTGTCATTCTCATCTGATCTGGAAATAGAAATTTCACAATTGTGAGGAAATTAATTTCTGCTGTTTAAACCACTAAGTTGGTGGTATTTTGTCACAGCAATCAGAGCAGACAAATACAACACAGGTAGAAATAATAGTCTGAAAATAACTTACAGTATCCAAGGCAACTGGAATCTTCACGGTACATCCTCCTTTCCAATGAGCAAATGTCTTAGAGTGATACCAGATCTAAAACAGACCCCAGTGAGAAAGAGTTTATGAGTAACTCTGCTCACAACTTACTCATTAAAATATTCACTTAACTGCATTTCAAATAACCAGAAACTAAAATAAATGGAGATAAGTGGGGGGTTTTGTTTGTTTTTGTTTCATTGTGGTATGGGGAAGTATTTTTTTAAATTATTTATTTATTTGGGAAGGAACTGGGGATTGAACCCAGAAGCGCTTTACCACTGAGCTACATCTCCAGCTCCCCCCTCCTTTTTTTTTTAAATCTTGGGTAGAAGTTAGGAAGAATATGTGTTTTTAAGAAGATCTGAAAGAGTGGGACTTGATGGCTCATGGTTATGATCATAGCTATTCAGGCAGCTGAGGCAGAACAAGTTCAAGTTTGAGGCCAAGCCGAGCTACTCAGTGTAACTCTGACTCAAAATAAAATAAAAAGGACTGAGGATATAGCTCAGAGACAGATGCTTGCCAAGCACGTCCATGAACCTGGATTTGATCTCTAACATGAAAGGGAGGGAGGGAATGAAGGAAGGAAGGAAGGAAGGAAGGAAGGAAGGAAGGAAGGAAGGAAGGAAGGAAGGAAGGAGCAAATCTTAAGGGACTATGACTAATTAATTTAATAAAGGTCATTTGTTTGCCCATCTGTACATTCAAAAGTAATTACACCTGTAATCCCAGCAGCTCAGGAGGCTGAGACAGGAGGATCATAGTTCAAAGCCAGCCTCAGCAACAGCGAGGTACTAAGTAACTCAGTGAGACCCTGTCTCTAAGTAAAATTCAAAATAGGGCTGGGGATGAGGCTCAGTGGTTGAGTTTCCCTGAGTTCAATCTCTGGTACCAAAAGAAAAAAGTTATTTGCTAAACAACATAACCACTATGCCAGGTGCTCCACATACATGATAATTAAGATGTCTAATGAGTGAAAAGGCAGTCCTTGACCTCCTGGGTTTTATAGCCCACTTGGCTTATAAAAACTTAGTGCTTCTAGCAGTAAATGAGATGACAAAATAGAAAAAATAACCAAAATAAAGAAAAGCACGTTGCAGGTAAAGAGATTGCAAATGAGGCAGCAGAAAAGGAAAATACCAGAGAAAGAATAGATCTGGGACAAAAACAAATTGAAACATGGATTACTAATATGGTATCACTTTTTTACACAGTATAATTCAGAGCTAAGGTTCTAATTCTTATGTGAGATCTCTATCAAGAGGGAGCCAGTCGCTGAAGTATCAAAAAGAGCCTATAAAGTAATTTGATGGAATAAATCCTTAAGATATCATTAGAAGGAGAATGAAAACAAAAACCTTATTTTCTCTCTTTTAGCCAGTATACTTTCTGGCAGCCAGTGTTGCAAGTTCACATTGTGGGATTACCACATCCTTTATATAGCACAGTTGTTTAGTCTGTTACCACCCTGTTGTGAAGATGACAGAACTGTGATTTGACCATCATTAGCCATAGTGAATGCTTTTATTTTGGGGGGGTTGGGGGGATTACTGGGGACTAAATCCAGGGATGCTTAACCACAGAGTCACATCCCCAGTCCCTTTTATTTATTTTAAATTTTGAGACAGGGTCTTAATAAGTTGCTTAGGATCTTGCTAAGTTGCTGGTGCTAGCTTTGAACTTGCAGTCCTCCTACCTCAGCTCCTGAGCTGCTGAAATTATAGGCATGTGCCACTGTGCCCAGCTGCCACAGTGAACTCTTAATTCAATAGGGTCAAACCTACTGCAGTCATGATATGTTATTCTTGATTGGATTCAATTTATTAATATTTTCTCAAGGATTTTTGAGTCTGTGTTTGTAAGAACATTAGCTTGTTTTCTTTATGTTTCTTTTATATATCATTCTCTGGCTTTCTCTCTCTCCTCTCTAGCTAATCCCAGTAGCTTCAGATAAAGCATTGGTGGGGATAAAAGGTAAACTGATTCAAACAAGGTTTGAGCATTGTCTTGTCTACCACCATAACTGATTAAAATGAGAGATACAAGGTTTGTGCTTTGGTGCCATATCCAAAGATCTCCAATTTAGGAAGGGTATAACTAGCATAAAATTCCACAAAGGACCAAACCCAGAACTCAGTCCCAGGTTCCTAAGCAAGTTCTTGCTGAGTGCCAACTATATATCAGGTATCCACTTAGTTGCTGGGGATGTAATAGTGAACCTAACAGATGAAAATCACTGCCTTCAAGGAGCTCACATTCCAATAGGAGAGGTACATAATAAGAAAATAAGTAAATATACAGAATGTTAGATGGTGGCAAGTCCTGTGAAGAAAGAGAAAGGCTGGAGAGGCCTAGGGAGCACCAGGAGCAACGAGAGAAGTCTATAAACTTAAACAGGTGGTCAGAGACAGCTTTGCTGATGAGATATTTGAGCCCAGACTTGGAGGAGAGGAGATGGGCCCCATATAAATATGGGTAAGAGTGACAGTGTGAACTTCAGACAGCCTGCTCATTTAGTGTGAAGTGTACTGGCCAGCTAGTCAAGATAATGAAGCAGGTCTGGCAAGAATTTTTTTGGCTTTTTTACCCAACATTTGTGAAGATGTTGCAAGAGAAACAATCACAGAACACTCCGATAAAAAATGAAGGAATATAGTTCAAAGTCACAACAATGTGTTTGCAATGATGAATCATTAGTAAAAATTCTTGGCTAAGTTAGAAAGGGAGCCAGTTTCTCTTAATAGATACCTACTGCTTTGTTAGAATAAACTTGAAAAATTCTCATCAGACATGCTCAACAGGACCATTTATTTAGTTGTTGCTGTATTTAATGTTTTCCTCAGGTTTCTACTTGGCAAGGGAATCTTTGTAAAGATCCCTCAACTTCAGGACTTCAAATTACTGGAGAAACCAAGAGGAAAGACTATAGTTCATAAACATTCTGGAGAAAAACCTGGATAGTCATATCAATAATAAAAAGTGTAGGTAGCTGAATGGTGGCCACTGAAAAAGAGTCTCTTGACATGGTAGTCTCAGTCCAGCCCAGCACCCTGCATGGCTCTTTCCTCTGTGTGCTGAAGCCTGGGGTGAAGCTCTAGTTCCTGAGGACTCTCCCTAGTCTGTCTCTTTTCTGCTCTTCATTCCACACCCTCTTTCCCTAGTCTGGAGCACCAAGTCTCCATGGTCTCTGCTCTGCAGAAAAAGGGTTGTCCCTGCCTTACCTTTGTGCTCTGCCTAAGTTCACTGCCCTGGGCTCTGGTAGGCCGGGACTGTTCATATAGTAATAATAACAAATGACAATAACTAATAAGATAGCTAAGGAAGGTAGAGATGATAGAGGGAAGTCATTGTTGATCTTGATCAATTTGGTGAGTACTGGAGACAATTTTTGGTACCAAAATTTAGGATTCAAAGGGAGCCAGAATCAAAGAGCAAAGTTTCTTTTCTTTTTTGGTACTGGGGATTCAACTCAGGGGCACTCGACCACTGAGCCATATTCCAAGTTCTATTTTGTATTTTATTTAGAGACAGGGTTTCACTGAGTTGCTTAGCACCTTGCCATTGCTGAGGCTTGCTTTGAACTTGCAATCCTCCTGTCTCAGCCTTCCGAGCCACTGGGATTACAGGCGTGCGCCACTGTGACTGGCATAAAGAGCAAAGTTTCTTTATACTTAAGTTTCCCACCAGAGTCTGATACCTCATAGTAGACAAAAGATTTTTTTCTTACCCTACCCTCAGTGTGTTTAAGAACTCACTTAAGCAAGTCAGTGTGAAGATGAATTCTGATCCTTCTTGGGGCCATCACCTATTCATTTTTCTATCACCTGGCCTCCATTAATTTCTTAGCCTAAGTGGACAGTGTCATGATTTTTAAAAATCATCAGTTATGGCTGGGGTTGTGGCTCAGTGGTAGTGTGCTCGCCTAGCATGTGTGAGGCACTGGGTTCGATTCTCAGCACAATAAAGACAATAAAGTCCATCAACAACTAAAAAAAATCTAAAAAAAATTATCAGTTATTACAGTCATTTGGTGTGTGTTCACCAAAGCATTATGGAGAAATTTAGTTGCTTAAAGAAACAAAGGGATGAGAGAGATGAGACTTGAGATATGTGACTAATTGTTATTAGTCTTACCTCATTTGATCTTGGCAGAAATACATCAACCATGGTGGTTTTTGGTTCTGAGACTGGATGAACCAATAAAGCACTTCCTTAAGAATGGAGAAGAAATAAAATTTAGTGTCATTACAAGAATTCTTTTCCTTTAATTGAACAGTATTGTGCTTTTTATTTTGTTTTGTTTTGGTATGGGGCTTGAAAACAGGGGTTCTTCACCACTGACCTACATCTCCAGCCCTTTTCATTTTTTTTTTCCTTTTGAGACAGGTCTTGCGAAATTGCTTAGGGCTTGGCTAAATTTCTGAGGCTGGCCTACAACTTGCAAATCTCCTGAGTAGCTGGGATTACAGGTTATGGGCCACAATGCCTGGCAAAAAACTACTAGACTGTAAACTTCTGTAAGGCAGAGACCATGGTGAGTTAAACCAATGATTCATCAGAGAGATGCATTGTTAGAAAGAGGACAGGGGCTCAAATAGGTGACTGCTATTACCCATCATTAATCCATATATGGAATATCAGGATTATAGGAAGGAACCCTAACACAATTTACTACAGTATCATTTTGTGCTTAACTTCTGGTGCACCAATAATCTGAAAGCACCACTGCATCTCTCCATGGCTTTACTGTTTTCTTGGAATGATACTGATGATAGTGAGTCTACAACTGTTATCTAGAATTATGTCACTGTGGCTACTCAGGTTCTTTTGCTTGGGCAGTTATCATTGGGAAGGCTGTAGATGCAAGTATTATTAAATTTTCTTTGATCTTGCCACCATGCAGGTAAAAATTCATCATTTGTAAATTCTTTTATTCAATAAATACTGATTGCCAGGCATGTTGATAGGTTCTGGGGATAGAGTGGCAGATAAAACAAGCATGATCCCTGCTTTCATGGAGCTTATAGTAAATGAAGACAGATATTAAAAAGTAATTGAAAGATAGAGTTAAGACAAATACCAAAAAAAGCAAAAGTACAACGCAGAAGTTTTTTTTTAATGCGACAGATTGACTTTGATGGAGGAGAACAGTCTAAGGTATAAGAAGGCAAGGAGTGGTCAGGGAGGTTCCTCCAAGGCAGTGATTATTGAGACCTAATGTGTAAGGGATTGAACCTAGGAATTTGAACATGCCATCTGAGTGCTCTGCCACTGAGCTACATTCACAGACCAAGGACTATTTTTTTAAATATTTTTTTTTAGTTGTTAATGGACCTTTATTTTGTTTATATGTGGTGCTGAGAATCGAACCCAGTGCCTCACACATGCCAGGTAAGCCCTCTACCACTGAGCCCCAGCCCCAGCCCAATGACTCTATTATTTAACACTGGAGGTTTCCATTGTTTGGCACGTGGTTACCTTTTGGGCAACTCAATGTTTAGACTGGCTTTTTGAGCTTTGTCTCTAAGATAATAAACTTCCATGTTCTAGAATTGATGGTTAATCCTTGTTAAAGAGGCCTAATACTGTATATGAAATAAACTCTTCTGGTTCTTTACTATATATATATGATTTACTTTTTGCCTACTTCCTTCCCCGTAGTGGTCTCAATAGGCTTAGAAGAGTGAACACAAAACAAAAGTTTAAACTATACCTACAAATAGAATGGATTTATTTGATGTTGGTAAGAATAATACTGTGAGTGCTATAATTACAACAGAATAGATCTGCAATCCCACTAATGCATCACAAATCTTGATGAAGGAATTTATTTTAATTTTTTTAGTTTCATTGGGATTAGGATTTTAAAAAGTGCTCTCATAGTAGAAAATTTAATAGAAACATAATTATATTGTTTGTAATTAATAAATGCTCACCCAGCATGTATTCATCTTCCACACCAAAAGTCTCTAATTCATCTGGGAATTCTATCCACAGAGGCCTGGGAAAGTGAAAAGAACATTCATTACATTTTAATGTAATTATATGTTTTTTAAGATTTTTATATTTTTAGTTTAAAAACTATACAAAGGAGGGCTGGGATGTGGCTCTAGTGGTAGCACGCTTGCCTGGCATGCGTGCGGCCCGGGTTCGATCCTCATCACCACATACAAAGATGTTGTGTCTGCCGATAACCAAAAAATAAATATTAAAATTCTTTCTCTCTCTCTCTCTTAAAAAAAAAAACTATACAAAGGAAACTGGAAAGCACTAAAGAGTCAAGATTCTTTTTCATACAACTCAAGTTTTTATGAGAAATTGCTGTGATTACTTTACATTTTTATTATGTAAAAATGTTCTAAAGAAATATTGAGAATTCTAGGACCTGCCACTTTTCCTTCTGATTGTTGAGCACTAAACACTACTCTAATGGGCAGAGTCAGAGCTTTATGCAAGTCCAAATGCCTAACATCTTTGGATATGATTTTACAATGATGATAATTCTGTGCTTTTTAAAAAAACATTTTTTTTAGTTGCAGATGAACACAATACCTTTGTTTATTTATTTTATTTGGTGCTGACGATGGAACTCAGTGCCTCACACATGCAAGACAAGTGCTTTACCGCTGAGCCACAACCCAGCCCCTCTGTGCTGTTTTATTTTTGTGTTTGCTGCTTTCATGCATCACTTAATCACTATATCTTTGAGAAGAACTGATGTTTCTTGTTTTCAAGCTGGCATTATTTTTTGGGGTGTGGGGTTAAGAAATTTTGAGTATTCTTTTTTGATTGTTATTGTTTTGTGTAACTAGGATGTATTTGGGTTCATAAACAATAAAACTGTCAGTATATATCTACCTGGATATCAACTTAATGGTTCTAGTCATTTTTCAATTACATGAGGAAAGAATATCTTCTAATAAGCAAAATTTATTTTTAGTTTATTCACCAGCCTTTGTAATAACATATTTCTTTCCTACAGAACAAAACAACAGTATACCTGGGTGATGTCTAGAACCTAAAAGGGAAACTTCTAACAAATATAGATTCTTGAAACCTACCCAAAGAGATTCCTAGAAAGTTTTGGAGGTATAGCTTTTAAAATCTATAGTGGAAAGCTCCCCAGGTGATACTGATTTCATCTAAATTTAGGAACTTCTGATCCTGAAGTCTTGGTGAATTGTGTATGCTGGTATGTATCTTTCCCTAATCTAGAAAGTTTTTTTTTTTATATTTTGCCTTCAAAATAGAGTTAAAATTTATAAACAAATGCTCACCTCAAGCTTGGAACAGTTTAGTCCTAAGAGTAAGATAAAGGAAAGCCTAAGGCTGGCAGGTAAGTTATTCTTTCTGAAAAGATGCTACTGTCAAATAATGGATTCTTTCAGTCACTTCTTTATTCTTTGAGATAGCTCTATTTTTGCCTCTCACCTAGCATGTACATTTAATCACAGTAGTAGGGGGTCTAGTTTTTTTAAATCTGTCTTCGACAGCCAGAATCATGTGCATAATTGGTAGTCAAGAAGCTCACTGGAACTTGATTAAACGTGAGGCTTTTCTTCACTTTTTCTTTTAAAATCACTGCACAATTAGTCTAGTCCCTAATCACTGTGAGAGAATTAGGCTGCTGCAGTCCCTGAATGGATGATGCATTTTTACCTCATGACTGGTTCAGAAGCCACATGTGCATGGTAGAACAGAGAATACAAATAGGGTAGGAGGGTGTAGCGTTCTCTGATGGCTTCTCGGATAAGTTTGGTGTATTCCTCCCCAAAAAGCCAGGGTTCCCGCCGCTTGGTGTTCATGTTAGCATGGCCACGGAAGAAGGGTTGGTAGGCTCCTGCCTGGTACCAACGCACCAGCAGTTCTGCATCTGGATTCCCAATGAAGCCACCCACATCAGCTGGTTAGGAAAGAAAGGCCAAGTAAGGCAACCAGACTTCAAATAAATGATGTACAGGTTAAGATAAGGTCTTGATGACTGTCCAGAAAAAGGGAACATATGTGCATTCAAAACTATGACCTCAAAAAGGGGAGCACATTATATAAAACGGCCTCTCTGGAGATCTGACAAAACACTCTTTGAACACTGTCTTCTTGTTAAAAGACCAGAAGATTATTCTAAAATCAATACTCCTATATGTTCCTGAACTCATATTACCTAGAAATCATAAAGATTTATGTGTGTGTATTGGAAGGAAGGAGCTGGTAACCAACTTCCTTTGGAAGCAACAGGAAAACCAAGATAAAAAATAAAGAACTAAAAAGAAGTAAATAATCAGAATTAGAAGTTTAAAGCTGGGTGTGATGGCATATGCCTGAAATCCCAGTGGCTTAGGAGGCTGAGGCAGGAGGACTGCGAGTTCAAAGCCAGCCTCAGCAAAAGCTAGGCGCTAAGCAACTCAGCGAGACCCTGCCTCTAAATAAAATACAAAATAGAGCTGGGGATGTGGCTCAGTGGTTGAGTACCCCTGAGTTCAATCCCCAGTATAAAAAAAAAAAAAAGTTTAGGTAGAATTTCATGCTGAGTCCTAGAGTAGGATATGTATTTCTTGTACTATATGTGGACCAATACCAAAAACTATCAATATAAAAATATAATATTAACTTGTTTCTATTTCTGCAGAAAACAAGGAAAAACTGGAACTGCAGTCACATTGAGCAACTTTTAACCTTTATCCACAGAGAATTCTCAGGATGCAAGGAAGGTACACCATCAGACACACTTATTTTAATTAAATTTATCTTTCTCAAGAGCATATATTTTTAAAAAAACACAGTTAAAATATGTCACGGAATTTAAAATCTGCTAAGAATTTATTTCTCTGTTTTCTCCTTCCTATTATTGTTATTTTTTAGCAGTACTGAAAAATTGTACCTAGAGTCTTGCACATGTTAGGTGAGAGCTGTACCACTGATATATCTCTGCCCCACACTAATTTTTTAAAAAATATTTTTAGTTGTAGATGGACACAATACCTTTATTTTGTTTATTTAGTTTTTTTAATGTGGTGCTGGGGATTGAACCCAGTGCCTCACATGTGCTAGGCAAGTGCTCTACCACTGAGCTACAACCCCAGCCCCCACACTAACTTCTGATTCACTAAATTCTTTGTAATTCTCTCTATTTTTTTCACTTAATTTTTTTTTTTTGGTAATTGTAGATGGGCAAAATACCTTTATTTTATTTATTTTTATGTGATGCTAAGGATCGAACCCAGTGCCTCACACATGCTAGGCAAGAGCTCTGCTACTGAGCTATGGCCCCACCCCATACTTTTTTCACATGCTGCATCTAAAAAGGAAGTGATGAAAGAATGAGGAAAAGAAGTACTCTTTGGTGCTTCCCTTTTCTCCTTCTGAGAAATTGATTCTTTGTCTTAAATTTGGGCAATATACAAGAAGTTCTGAAGCATCCTGCTTTCACTTTTCTCTCTAATCTGCTCCCCTTCACTTTCTCCTGTTTTCTCTTTCCCATATTTATCCCAGCTCAAAATAGCTAAGGAGAAGGGTTTTATGACCAGCTTTGAAGAAACATTTCATTTTTCATTATCTCTCACTTTAAGCTCCAAGACAGAACTCATCTTACCTCCACAAAAAGAGATCCCAGTAATGCTGAGAGTTAGTAACATGGGGATAGAAATTTTCAGGTAACTCCATTCTGCTGTGTTGTCACCAGTCCACACTGCACCTTTGATCACCAGTAAGAAAGTATTAAAAAAAAATCACAAGTCAGTTCATGTACTTAATTTCATATTTAGAGTCCTGATTATTTACTTATGCATTTATTTGGTACCAGGGATTGAACCCATATGTTAATGCTTAATCACTGAGTCACATCCCCAGCCCTTTTTAGTTTTATTTTGAGACAGGGTTTCACTAAGTTGCTTTTAGCCTCACTAAATTGTTGAGGTTAACCTTGAACTTGTGACCCTCCTGCCTTAGCTTCCCAAATCTCGGGAATTATAGGTGTGTGACACCATGCCTGGCTTAGAGCCTTGATTTTTAAGACAAGCTACTAAAAAGGAAAATAGATTTCTTACCTAAAAGTAAATAATTGATTTATACAGGAAAATGTATTAATTTTCTAATATAAAAATTTATTAAAATCCACAAAACATTCTATGAAAATATTCTGAAATTATGCATAGTTTTGAATTTTTTTTGTGGTACTGGGAATTAGAACCCAGGGCTTTGTGCATGCAAGGCAAGCACTCTACCAACTGAGCTATATCCCCAGTCTTATAATTCTTTTTATGAGAGCATTACAGTTATACATAATAGTTGGTTCATTTTGACAAAATCATACATGCACAGATTTTGATTTACTCTAAGTCCTGGAAGCTCCCCTTTCTCAAACTCCCTCCCCTAGATTCCTTCCTCTACTCTACTGATTTCCCTTTTGCTTGTTTATTTTTCATTGGTGCTTTATACATAGTATATAAAGAAAGATAGAATGCACTGTGGTATATTTACACATGCACATAGTGTGATTTTGTTAAAATTCATTCCTATTTCCTTCCCTTTCTCATCCTTCACCCCCCATCTCCTTTTATTCCATTGATCTTTCCTTTATCTTTATGATATCCAATCCCCCTTTCCCCATATTTTGCACTAGTTTCCGTGAAGTATAATTCAAATATGATTATAGGAGGAATATTTTAAAAAATAAATTTTATTGAGATGTCATTTACGTACAATAAATGTATCTGTTTCAAGTGAAGAGTTTAATGCTTGTAACCACCACCATAAGCAAGGCATAGAACATTTCCATAACTAGTGAAGTTCCCATGGGTTTCTTAGCAGTCAACAAATGCCCACTTTAGGCAATTTACTCATGTGATTTCTATGGTTATAGATTAGTCTTTTCTGGAATTTTCATACAATGGAAACATAAACCATATTATATTTTAACATTTTTTTTACTCAGCATAACGTAGTTTACTATTTTTTTATTTTCTGGGTAGCATTCCATGATATGGAACATATGACAAGTTATTTATCTATTTATCTATTTATGAATATATAGATTCTTTCCAGATTTGAGCTATTATAAATAAAGATACCATAAATATCTTTGTGTAAATCTCTGTGTGATATGTTTTTATTTATCTCTGGATAAATACCTGGGGACAAAATTGTTGGGTCTTATGTTCAGCATATGTTAAACACTTCAAGATAATTCCAAACCTTTTAGGAAGGGTTGTACCACTTTAGATTCTCATAGCAATATATGAGAGTACCAGTATTTTTAATTCTAGGCACTCTAAGGAACATATCTAAGGAATGTATCTTTCTTTTGTTCTATTTTATATAATTTATTTTTTTATATTTTCCATTTTTATTGGCACATTATAGTTGTACATAATTATGGGATGTTGTTATATATTCTTACATGCACACAGTAAAAAAAATATAATTGGCTAATCATTCCCCAGTATTTCTCTATTTCTCCTTTCTCTCACCTACCCCATTCTCTGGTCCATTTCCTCTACTTTACTGATCTCCCTCTTTTGTTTTAATTTATATGTCCCTAATAACTGATTATTTCTTCATGTGTTTACTGATCATTCTATGTCTTCTTCTGTAAAGTATCTATTCCCCACATCTTTTGTTCTTCTGTTTTGTTTTTGTCATTGAGATGGGGTCTTACTATGTTGCCCAGGCTGGCCTTGAACTCCTGGGCTAGAGAGATCCTCCTGTCCCAGGCTCCCAAATAGCTGACACAACAGGTGTGCATGAGTGTACCTGGTTTCGTTCCTAATTTTTAAAATATGTTGTCTATCTTATTATTGAGTTGTAAAAATTATTTACAACTGTAAGGGTTGTGGTTACAGTTGTAACCCATATATATCTAGTTGTTTTAGAAACATTAATTGAAAAATATGGTAACTTTATACTTTGCATGAATTATCATCCCACTTAATCATCCCCAAAACCACATCAGGGAAATAATATTATTAACTCCATTTTACAAATGAAGGAACTATGACAAACAGTGGATTCCTAATCTACCCATAGTCACATACTCATTAATTAGATTTAAGGCAGGATTTGAGTCCAGGCAGTCCAACTTCAAAGCCAGTGTTCTTTATCATTGCACAGTTGTAAGAGTTTCTGAAGACAGATTTCATACTACTAAAGAGATTCATAAAAGGAAGAAAATCTTATTTTACTACATCTACATTACTACTGAAGCATTTTTGTCTATCTTCTACCAAAAATAGTTCAAACAGATATTTTTGATTTTATTTCTCATACAAATTTTGAATTTTCCTTCGATCAACAATGAAAACTATTTTCAAGGGATTGCCCTTTGTAAATAGTAGTTAATAAGTTTTCCTTAATTTCAAGTAAAATATGTATATATTTACATAATGATTTTGAAATTTTGTCAAAAAAGCTCATCATAATAAACATAGAAATATTCTCATGGCTCATATGGTTGTTTAGACAGAAGTTCTTCCTGGCTATTGATTTCAGCATTTGACTGAACAAAATATATTTCCTGTAAAGCCCTGCTACATACTGGGGCAAAGTTGATTAAGTTGGGGTCTTGCTATGTTGCCCAGGCTGGCCTTGAACTCCGGGCTCAAGAGATCCTCCTGCCTCAGACTAGAAAGTGGGTCAACATTTACAAGATCAAAGAAAATTTAGGGGCTGGGATTGTGGCTCAGTGGTAGAATTCTCGCCTACCATGTTTGAGTTACTGGGTTCAATCCTTAGCACCACATAAAATGTAAAATAAAGATATATGTCCACCTAAAACTAAAAAATAAATATTTAAAAAAAGAAAATTTAGTATTTATGTTTCCTCTTATTTTTTTAAACTGGTGTTTATAAATTTTTTCATTAAATACACATTTTTAGTGGTAAAAAGTGATACTTGTAGGGATTTTGGAAAATAAGGATAAAGAAGAAAATTAAAATCACTCCAATCACCCAAGGTACTAAATTTTCTTATATCTTATCTGACTATCTACCAACTTATAGATTAAATTACTATCTTATATTTTATAAAATTGGGATAATATGGAAATATTTAGGCATTCTTTTCTATTTTTCCTTTAACATGATGTCACAAACATTTTCTCATGCAGTTAAAGCTACCATTTTAAATAGCCTCATGATAGTCTGCCACATGGACACAACTTACTTTTATAACTATTCTTGAAACAAACAAACAAAAAATCTATGTAACAATAGAGAATAGTGCTATGGTGATCATCTCTATACGTGAATCTCTGCCTGAGATGATAATATCTTGGTCTCTGGTTGAGTACCACTGAGGTTGGTTTTCAGGGGTTTAGTGGGAGAACTAATAATGTCTGCAATACAGTAAGAGTTGGGTTTTTGAAATTAGGACCTAAGTTTTCAGTTGTTTATGCAAGAAAAAGGGTCTTAAAATAGCCTTCCTATGCCAGGGTGGTTAAGTTAAATTAGATCTGCATTAGCTAGTAAACCAGATCCAGTTATAGATGACCTTGACCACAAGCAACAGCCAGGTCTATTTTAAGTCATATTGCTAAGTGGAACAGAACAGGTGATTGAATGAATATGTTAGAAGCATATTTCCTGGTTTCAATAAATCAAAGAGGATTGAGGATCACCATGTCAACAAACTAAATATGGTAAAGTCAGTCTCCTATCAATAAGTGGCCATTTTTTTCAGTTGGAAACAAGTGTTAAACTTGATTAAAATTGGCTTACTCTATTTTATAGTATAAAATGCATACTTCAGAGTAGATCACTCTGTACAATCAAAGGTCTGAGCAATAGCTATTGAAAAGGAACACAGAGGCAGCAGATGCCAGAAACAGTCAAAAAGGACAGGTGGTTAATTTGTATTTTTCAGTCTAACACAAGCCATTCCTTACCATACTTTTGTGACCCAGCGAAGAAAGAACGTGAAAGAACAAAGGGTCTCTCCTTCCCTTTAGATCGCTGTATCAGTCCCTCTGCAGTAGCCATTTGCTATCAAAGTCAACAGAAAAAAATTCAGAGAAGATAGGATTAGGGCATTGTGTTAATATCCTTAATAAAATAATGTGAAAAAGGTAAATAGTAGGTGGAAATGTGAAATGTTAAATATTAAGATAAATCCAACCAAATTGTTTTCATGATATATCTTCCTTTACTCAAAGAATGGAAAACTTGGGGCTGGGATTGTGGCTCAGCGGTAGAGCGCTCGTCTAGCACATGTGAGGCCTTGGGTTCGATCCTCAGTACCACATAAAAATAAATAAACAAAATAAAGGTATTGTGTCCAACTACTTCTAAAAAATAAATATTAAAAAAAGAACTTTCTTCGAATAATAATAACAATGAATAAATAAACTAACATTTATTTGATGCTTACTATTAATTGGTATTTTGTAATATTTTTTCACATAATCTACCAAACAATTTCTGAGACAGTTTCTAGTGGTGGGGGAAAAAAACAGATTCAGCAAAGTTAAGTGACTGGTCCTGGCCTACATAAGAAAATTCTCTAAGGTAGTTGGCAGTAATAGCAACAGGCTGTTAGAGAAGTAAACAGATACTACCTGAAATCTGTGCTATCTCTAGCCAGCAGCTCCCATTGGAAAATACCAATAGGCAATGGGAACATAGTCACATTCTAAAAATAACAAAGAACCACAGATATAAATTAGAGCACATGATTGTCAAGCCTTTGGATGTGACTGGCAAATAAAAGACAATTTTACCTTTTTAAAAAATTTTTTTGGTCCCAGGGATTGAATTCAGGGGTGTTTAACCACCAAGCCATATCCCCAGCCCTTTTTATTTTTTATTTTGAGATAGGGTCTTACTAAGTTGCTTAGGGCCTAAGTTACTGAGACTGGCTTTGAACTTTAGATCCTTCTGCCTCAGGCTATCTAGCTGCTAGGAATACGGGCATGTGCCACAATACCTGGCCAATTTTACCACCCGGAATGAGAAGGCACTGGGTTTGAGTCTCAGCACCACACACAAACAAATAAATAAAGGTCCATCAATAACTAATAAAAAATTTTTAAAAATACTTAAGGAAAGGCTTCTAAATTTTTTTAAAAAGCATACTTATTGAAATTATGTGTCTGTGTCTAAATTATGCTTCCCTGATATAGAATGTCAGCGTTGCTGTATTTGGATATTTGTGAGATTTTCAAAATTTAAAAAAATTAAAAAAAAATTAATCAGTTATACTTGACAATTAAAACTTTAATTTTAATTTTAACTTTAGCCTTTGTTAACAGATTTATACAATGCTTGTATCAATAAAAGTGCTATATACTAATGGCTCATTTCAAAGCAGATGTTTCCATCTTATCATTAATCTCATAATATTTTAAAATTCATTAAGTTGATTTGGAAGGAAAAGAAGCAAAAGGAGAAATAATAAAAAGTCCTGTATTGGCTATAACCTAAGACTCACTGCACTTGTCAGAAAAGACACACTAAGAGATATGGACAGCATAGTATGGCTATTAAAAAACAAATGAATTTCAGGTAGGGCACATAAATCTAGTTGACTTAATTTTGGATATCTTTCTTACCTGATAAAAACCATAGATGTTGTGAAGTTCTCTGTGCTCCCAGTTGCCATGATGAATGGCATTCTTTTGCAGTGTTAGCTCAGGCCCTCTAAAGACTGAGGGTTCATTCATGTCATTCCATATGAAAAGGATATCTGTAGATCCCTAGGAAGCAAATCCTGGTCATAAAACACTACCACAGTAATGATGTTACTATGATAGCGTCCCTATTTTTCTTTTCTACCCCCATTTAACTTACTTATTTATTATGTTTTTTGGAAAGGGAATTGTGTCTATTTTGTTCATTGATAAATCTAAAACTCCAAAAATAGTACCTGGCCTACAGAAAGTTCTCAATAAATATTGATTAACAAATAAATGTTGTCCTGTGTTGTCTACGAAATATACATTGCCCAGCAAGTTCACTCCAAGATCTCCCTAGAGACCCCTACTGGAAAGGTTATGAATTTTCACAATTAGGCTCTACAGCATCCACCATAGGCTACAACTCTTAACTAAAGGCAATTATAGCTATATATAGAAGATTCTATCTTCTCTCTAAAACTCTGAAAGATTTGGCAGCTCAGATATCTGTGTTTGTTACCATGATCTACATTTAGTGTTGTATGTAGAATGTTCAGAGTAGGAAGAGACAGGTGATTCATCTAGTTAACATCTTGTTGTAATTCGTTTTATAGAAATCTCTGGTCTCTCAGCATTTGGCTAAATAGCTACAATTATAAGAACTCCCTTGGGCAGCTCATTCCATTATTTTCCAAATGTCTTGTTCCTTGCAATATCACCTCACAAGACCTAGCTTCCCTTCTCAGACACCATAATATCTCTTCAATTACTCAACTCTGCCATACTAGTGTGAAAACAGTCTTAGAAAACAGTGAAGTGAATGAGCATAGCCATATTTGGTCCAAGGGTGGTTGTCTATCCCTGCTTTAAGTTATTTACTAGTATCCTAATATATGATGCTCAGAAACTATTGTCTGATGGTTAAGAGCTGGGCTTGGCAGACAAACAGTCCTGAGTTCAAATTCTGGGTCTATCACTTGCTAGATGGGTGACATTGGCAGGCTTACAAACTCTCCATTACTTAATTTTCTTATCTGTGGAATTATATTTAGTTAGAGCTCCAATTTCAGAAAATTATTGTGAAGAAGAAATGGTATAATGCATATAAAGTGCTTGACATGTATTCATTTTGGTTTAGGTATCACCATCAGCATCACCACCACCACCATTATCAGTATCAAAGTAAATGGTTGAGAACAGTTCTTCAGATGTGGCTGCTCCAGTTTTCTCTGTGGTTCTTATAATATTTTAAAATAATTATTATTCTTTGCTTTTAATGATACACTACATTTCACATTTACCATATCTTTAAATATATTTATAGATTGCTCATTTTATATAAAATGTATATGGTAATTTTGAAACATAATAAATACCTGTTATAATGTACACTGATATATCACAGAGTATGTTATAATAGTGGTTAAAAATCACAGCCTTTGTGCCTTTAGTAATGCACATGGCACCTCTCCCAGCACCACCAAAGTCTGTAATGTATTGGTCATCCTTGCCTTTTCACACAAGCATTATATAACAAGAGCTATTCAAAGAAGCAAAACAGTTCTATTCACTTTTCTTTCTTTCATCCTTTAAAATCAACTAGAAAAGAACAAAAGAATAAAGACCTACCTGATAAGCTGGGAAAGCAAAAAGACCCGAATACCATTCTCTGACCTTGGAATTGGTGAAATCCAGGTAAGAAGAGAGACCTGGAGAGACATAATAGTAGATAGTCTGTTAGGAATAGGGGTCATCACAGTAAAATGTGTCATAAAGAAGGTATCAGATGTGAGAACCAGATAATCAATGGGCACTTTACAACATTCCTAAAAGATAGGTGAGAGAGGCATGGTCTCCAAGAAGTGAATGAAGGTTCTACTGCACTCCAGTGAAAATCACTAGACCTTTCAGTACCAGAGGCCCTGGGAAATGCCAGTGAACAAGCATCAAGACACAGCATGTCCCTCTCTGATGGCCTAAGATAGCCCAGGTATTCTTCTCCTCCTCCTCCCCCTCCCCCTCCCCCTCCCCCGCCGCCTCCTCCTCCTCCATCTTCTTTTTTAAGACTGAGGATTAAACCCAGGGGTGCTTAACTACCAAGCCACATCCCTAGCTGTGTTAGAAGAGCAAAGAACAATCATAGGAGAGAACCTGCAGGATGCTTTTTTTCTTTTCCTCTTCCCTTCCCTTTTCTCATTCATTCTCTCTTTCTCTTTCCCTCCCTCCCTCTCTCCCTCTTTTTTGTTACTGGGGATTGAATCCAAAACCTCACACATGCTAGGCAACACTCTACCATGGAGCTATACTCCCAGTCCTTTAAAACATTTATTTTGATTCAGGGTCTTGCTAAGTTGCTGAGATTGGCCTCAAACTTGCAATCCTCCTGCCTCAATCTCCCAAGTTGGATTATAGGCATGTGCTATGATTCCTCTACTTCTTATCTCTATTTGTTTAAAGAAATATGCATGCCACTGAGGTTTGCTTATCTGTTTATGTTACATTCATTCAATTACTGATTAATAAATATATCCGAACATATATTTCCAACGGTACCAGGTTGTTATAGTTTAGATCTTATACGTCACCAAAAGCTCATGTGTAGAAGGCTTGGTCCCCAGCTGAGAGATGGTTGAAACTTTAGGAGGTGGGACCTGGTTGGAGGAATTAGGTCATTGGAGCTGTGTCCTAGAAAAGTATAATGGGACTCTGTCTTCTTTTTCTCTCTTGCTTTCTGGTCTCTGTGAAGTGTGCAGCTCTCCTCTGCCATATGCTTCCATTATGATATACCATTATGATATACTGCCTTGGCACAGGCCCAAAAGCCATGGGGCCAAATGATTCTGGACAAAACATCTGAAACTGTGAGCTAATATAAATATTTTTTTCCCTTCAAATTAATTTCTTCAGGTATTTTGTCACATAGGGAGAAAGCTGACTAACACACAGATGTTATGAAAGATACAAAGAAGGCAATACTTTCTTCCCTTGAAGGTGCCTAAGATGTAAGTAGAAGAGTAGATACTTACTAGAAATGAGAACAACAGCCATGTAACCTTCATTAATTGGTACTAAATAATTGGAAATAGTAAGTATATAAAGCAATATCATACCAGGCCAGCATACTCCTTCAAAGTCACTCCCTTCACGATTTCTCACAAAAAAGCCCTGTTCTTTGGCCTTAGTGTAAACTGAGTAGTCAGGATCAATCTTGATGTGGGGGTCACTGATGACCACAAGCTGTCAGGACATAAAGGTTTGAAGATATCATCAAGTTTTATGGTTAGACTTAATATTCATTTATATGTCTTCACCATAGTTTTAGGGTAAAATTTTATTTTGAAACAATTACAACTCATCATGAAATATTTCATACATCAGTAAAACTCTATAGTCTTCTGTGTGCTCAGAAAAATTAAAACTGATATCAAAACCAGGCCAATCAAAACCAATACCAATGCTGCTATGAATATAGGTGTACAAATATCTGTTTGAGTTACTGCTTTAAGTAAGTTCTTTTGGGCATATATCCAGAAATGGGGATTGCTGGATTATATGTTGATTCTATTTTTAATTTTTTTTAAGAACTGCCATATTGTTTTCCAAAGCAAATGTACCATTTTACATTCCTGTCAACAGTACACAAGTGTTGCAATTTCTCTACATCTTCACCAATACTTACTTACTACTTCTTAAATAGTACCCTTCCTAATGATGTTAAATGGTATTTCACAAATAAAAGTTTTGATTTGCACTTTCTAATGATTAGTGATGTCGAGCATCTTTTTGTATGCTTGTTGGCAATTTCTCTGTTTTCTTTGGAGAAATGTATGAAGTTTACCCATTTAAAAATTTTTGCTGTTGTTGTTATGATGTAGGAGTTTCTTATAAATTTTGGCTATTACCCCCCTTTTAAGAAGCTTTTAATATCTCCAAATGTATCCAAAGAAGCCTATAATAAGGCCCAATCTTTCTGGACAGATTCCCTACTATTCAAAGCTTCACATGCTTTGCTCTTTCAAAACAGCCTCTGTTTAGCTTTCAAACATCCATCAATGCTCCATCCTCTGATTACACTGCCTTCTTCCTTCCCTCTTTTCCACTAATTAGAGACTCATCCTTCAGGGGTATCCTACAATATACCTGTGACACAAACTCCTGACTTGAGTTCTCCAGTAGGCTAAAATCTTCCCTTTCTTGGCCCATTCCCACTCCAAACTTTCTTTGGCTCTCATGTTACTGCCCTGTATTGTGGTTACTGCATACTTGCCTTTCCCCCACTTGCTGGAAGACCCTGAGGAGCTCATCTCTGCATTCCCTTCAGTACTAGCACAACCTCTTGAATGTTCAGAGGCCTCAAAAAAACAACCACAGAAATTTCCACAGGGACAGAAATTTCTAGAGCCAAGCAGACCAGTGTTGATTCTTGCTATGCTACTTATTCACTGTGTGAAAATTACCAAATCACTCTAAGTCTCAGCTTCTTTATCCAAATAATGGGGTAATAAGACTATTATAATATATCTTATTACACCGTCTACCTTATAGTAAGTACTTAACAAATGATAGCTGTTTTAGAGTTAACAAGATTGATTCTAGAGACCAGTGAGAAGTTTGAGGATCAAAGGAATGGGTTGAAAAGGCAACTTTAATACTAAGGAAACCGCCCACACAAGCCCTTGTAGGACCTACACTCTCAGTAGGCCCGGTTTACACTCCCTGGTGGGGCAGACATCTGCCAATGCATTCTGCTGTCATATATAAATAAAAAAATTAACCAAGTAAACATAGATGTTATACTACATATTATACTACTACATGTGCACATATTGATGGAAATAAAATTATTTTTATGAAAAAAAAACAAGGAGAGGGATTGTATCTATTTATATAATGTATATGGGGTTCACCCCCTTCTCCTCTCTCCATTTTCTTTTCTCCCTCACTCTCTTTATTAGAATAATCACTGCCACGTCCATACAGGAAAGAAGCACTCTACACTTTCTGATGATTCCTCCTCTTCTCCATTTTCTATCATTTCTTTCCTTGGCCAGACTTACTAAAGAGTACACCAGGGAAGCCTGAAGAAAAAAAGAATAATAAAGAATCTGACTCCATTTTTTATATTTGGCTGTTCAGGATTTTCAAGCCCCACCATTCCCTCTTACCTTTCTGCCCACATCTGGGTAAGCTGACAGGAAGTCCTGGTGCTCCCTCATTTGGTGCCAATGGAAGGTTCAAAACATGCAATGCAAGCCCTAGCCCAAAGGAAACAATCCTTACCCTGGAGAGTGAGTGCACTTTAGCGCCACCCTCTAGCCACCTAAGAGCCAGTCTCCTTTCTCAGCAATCTATGGTCATTTTCAAATCATCTTGGGAGCTGACCCTATTCTCCCCAGAAGGCCTCATTTTGTGATGAACTTTCTCATACATTCTTGGTACATGTGTACAGTATTATCAAATTTCATACTAGAACAAAAGTTTGGTATGGTTGGGAATCCATCATGTTACTACAGGGTAGCCAAAAAAAGAGAACTGAAAATGCTAGGCCCCTTCATCATTCTGTAGACATAAACAACTAAGGAAGGGATGGATGGAGTTAATACCTTTTCACCATTCGATTTCTGTTATCACAATTATAATTACATTTGAAAGTACCATTTTCATGGACTATTTTTTTTATTAAATGGTCTTCTTCCACTAATGTACCAACACAAACTTCAAATAATTTTAAAAGCTTTGTAATGAAAAGTTTAAAAATGTTGGCTTCTTCTACCTTACGTTTTTTGCTCCTGAGCAGCTCTTGCATCCTTTTGGGGTTTGCAAATCTTTTTTTATCCCAGGTGAAGTACCTCTTGCCCTCAGTGTGCTCTATGTCCAGCCATATGACATCATAAGGAATATCATGTTCATCAAATCCTGCATCCACTGCCTTTACATCTTGCTCATCTTCATAGTTCCAGCGGCACTGGTGATACCCCAAGGAGAACAGAGGGGGCATGGCTTGTGTGCCTAAAGACAAAAATGAGAACTGAGTCAACTACCATAACAATGATCATCATTTGGTGAGCATTTTCCCAATGGGTACTAGTAAGCACTGAGCTTGTATGTACATAGAATATCAAGGAGAAGAAAGCATAGCTCTTGCTTTCAAGGAAGTAACAATTAGGGTGATAAGCAAGCGTATAAATAAACTGCTTTGAATTGAGGTATAACTGCTATGTTAAAGGTATCAGCCTAGTGCTTTGGGACCAATTATTGGGAAACCAATGAATTCTTCCTTGAGTTAAGTGTGGGGTCTTGAGAGGCTTCAGAGAACAGGTAATACTGGTTTGGATTCTTATGAATAAACATAAGTATACCCTATAGAGAAAAACAGATAGAGCATACGGGCATAGGGAACAGAAGAGACACAGAGGCAGATATGCACATGACAGGCTTAGGAAAAAATAAATATTTCAGAGTGTTACAGTGTAAGGGAGATAAGTAAAGGATGAAACTGGAGAGGATCAGTTTGTATAGGGTCCTTTAGTTCAGGTTAGCAATTCTGAATCTTCTTTTATAGGAGTCATAAAAATTTGGCAAAATGTAACCTTCCTGATCTTTATTTTAAAAACTGATGTCAGGGAGCACTGTTGAATCTGACTTAAAGGGAAATAGAAGTAAGGAAGAACTGTCAAGACATTATTGTCAAAACATTTACTTATACTATGGAGGACATTTGGTCAACCACTTGGATTTACCTTGTTCCTCTCCCAAAGTCTTACTAAAATCAAGGTAAAGAAAATAAAAAACGAATAAAGCCATAAAAACAGAATGGTGAAAGAGTAACTTCAACAAAACAAAACAAAACAAAACTGAAAGAAGAGGGCAGGGGAAGAATGGTAACTGCTGAGCACAGCCAGGGAAGCTCTCACCTGAGTGCTTGAGGGAAGCATACTGATGAAGAAGAAAGCTCGACCCTGTCCCTAGTATACAAGAAGACAGAAGAATATTCCAACTCCCACCCCTATACTGGACTATAAGATCATTCAGGCACACAGAACTTCCAGGCTGAACCACATTTTTAAAAAAAATTTTATGCCTTTATTTGTTTATTTATTTTTATGTGGTGCTGAGGATCGAACCCAGGGCCTTGAATGTGCTAGGCAAGCACTCTACCACTGAGCTACAATCCCAGCCCCAGGCTGAACCACATTTGAGGAAAATCTCTAAACTTAGATTCAGAGGCCCAAGTAAAGAAATAGAATAAAAGTACCTCTGAGAAAACAGTATCAATGCAAGCAACCAAAGTAACAATCATCAAAACATTATCATTAGTATTTCTGGAGATGAAAAAGAATTTGCACCCATAATACACAAATATAATAGCATAAACCAAGCATGAGGTGTTATTAACAAGTAAAAAATTAGAGAATAAGAAAGTACTCTTTGACATTAGAAATAGGATAGAATAAATGGAAGGTCTGAAAGACAAAATTATGAAAATTGCTCAGAAAATAGGCAAAAAAAGGGAAAGGAGATCAAAAAAATCTGTAAAGGAGAAAGGGAAAAAGGAGAGGAAGAAATTATGAAAGGAATAACCTAAGGTTGTATTCCTGAACTAAACAACAAAATTCTCAAGATTGAAAGGGTCCACATCTAAAACCCAGCATAATAACAACAATAATTATTATTATTTTCCAGTACTGGGGATTGAACCCAGGGGTGCTCTACCAGTGAACAATATACTCAGCCCAGCTTATTTTCTTTTGAGTTCAGGTTTATCTTGAATTTATGATTTTCTTGCCTCAGCTTCCCAAGGAGGAATAGTGAAAGTGGGAAGCCTATCTTGTTTCTGATATCAGAGGAAGCTGATAGGTTTTCCTTTCTTTTTGTGGTACTGGGGAATGAACTCAGGGTGTTGTGCATGCTAGACAATATCACTACATTATATTCCCAGCCCAAGTTTGTAGTCTTTTAAAGATAAAATGCTTTATTGCTAAAACTAGTGGGTGTGTTTTTTTTTTTTTTTTTTTTTGCACTGGGAATCAAATCCAGGGGAGCTTTACTACTGAGCAACATTCTGGCCATTTTCATTTTTCTTTTGAGTTGCTTAAGACCTTGCTGAATTGCTGAGATTGACCTTGAACTTTCTTTTTTGTACCAGTGAGTGATTCCAGGAGTGCCTAACCACTAGTGCTACATTCCCAGGCCTTTTTTGTATTTTATTTTGAGACAGGGTCTCACTGAGTTACTTAGGGCTTTGAGGTTTGTTTTGAACTCCTGATCCTCCTGCTTCAGCCTCCTGCACTTGGGATTACAAGTGTGAGCCACCATGCCTGGTTTGACCTTGAACTTTCAATCCTGCCTCAGGCCTATTAAGTTTCTGTGATTATAAGTGTTAGCGACCATGCCCAGAATTTTAGTGGTATATTTAAATGGAAAAAAAAAGCATGGAGAAGTTCAGGTTGGAATATTGGTTATGTAAATTACATAAATTAGATAATACCCAGGGACTAAATGTGCCAAGGAAAGTAGATGGTGAGTATTAGGGATTAGAGTGTACAGTTCTAAATTCAGTATAATTTTTAACTGTGCTAAGTGGTATGAGGGTGGGAAGGGGAATACTTGCTACTTAAATTGCTTAGGTAAGTTGTTTATAAGTCCTACATAATGTACAATAAATATTAACCTTCAGTGATGATACATGAGATAGAGGAAACATAATGGAACTATAAAATGGCACCTCTACATGCAAACCTGTAAGGTAGGAGTACTGCTTGAAGACATCAGAAGGTGTAGGTCCTGTCAGCAGAAAAACATCAATGATTCCACTCTCTGATATCCAGCACACATCAGTTTGAGATATGACCTTTTGTTTAGCAGCAGCTGGGCCCACCTGTGTCCATGTGTACTGGAAAAGGAATGGAATAAAAGTTTGAGAAATTTCCTCTAAACTATGATACCAATTGTATGTAAATCCACTCCTTTAGATAGTACTGACCTTCACTGATTACACTCAAAGCTTTTGGTGGCAAAAAACTGCCACCAAAAAGAAAAAAAGAAAAGCTAGCAGTGGTTTTATTTTTTCTCCAAGTATGACATACAATCATGATCCACAGCTTACCTCTACTGAAGGTTGTGTATTGATCTCCACTAGTGTTTCTGAGGCATTCAGCCAGAAAATGCCTATAGTCCTGCCCAGTTTGTGGGCCAAGAGATAAGGCACTGAGCCATAAATGCCCATTTTGTCATGTATTTTATATCCATAGACATCCAGGTTATAAAGACGGTAGGCATCTCCATCCCTAAAACATAAATGAGGATTATCATCAAATACCATTACAAATGTATAAATAACGAATAGGACAGCTCCACTCTCCACTCTCCACTCTCATGCAAACACTTAGGTCCTATGCCTCTTCTAAGACTTAATACTACTTCCCTAAAATGTTTCCTGACACAACCTGGACAAATGTTGTCTCCCTCCTTTGATTCCTTTGGCACCCCCTACCGTGACAACTGGCATAACTAAGCCCATATTTCTGATCTCTTTTCTAAATATCTCTTGTGAAAGAAGGATAATCACTTGTGAATCTTCCATAATAGGAAGCACACAATACACATCCACTCACAGATTTTGTGAGTTAAGTTTCTATAGCTAAAACAAAAGGATAGTGTTCTTAATAGACTTCCACAGAGCTGGTAGGGAAAGATCAAGAGCTGACTGGGGTGGGGGCACAGAATTAGGTTAGTATGAGAGTAGCACAATTTTTTTATGTTATTTGTTCTTTTTAATTACACATGATAGCAGAGTTTTATTCTGACATGTTTATACACACCTGGAGTATGTCTTATTCTAATTAGGATCTCAGTCTTGTGGATGACATGATGTTGAGATGTGATGTATTCGTATTTGTATATAGGAAGGTCATGTTAGATTCATTCCATTGTCTTTCCTATTCCTATTCCCCCCCGTCTTCCTTTCCTTCCCCTTTGTATAATCCACTGAACTTCTATTCCACCCCCTCCTGCCCATTGTATGTTAGCATCCACATATCAGAGAGAACATGCAACCTTTGGTTTTTTAAGACTGGCTTATTTCACCAAGTCCATCCATTCACCAGCAAATGTCATAAAGCCGTTCTTTTTATGGCCAAGTAATATTCCATTGTGTATTTATACCACATTTTCTTTACCCATTCATCTATTGAAAGGCACCTACGTTGACTTCATAGCTTAGCTATTGCAAATAAAGTTGCTGTAAGCATTGATATGGTTCTGTCACTATAGTACACTGATTTTAACTCCTTTGGATATATACCTAAGAATGGCATAACCAGGTCAAATGGTGGTTCCATTTCTAGTTTTTTGAGGAATCTCCATACTGCTTTCCAGAGTGGTTGCACCAATTTGCAGTCCCATCAGCAATGTATGAATGTTCCTCCCCCCTCCCCGCCGCATCCTCAAACATTTGTTGTTGCTTGTATTCTTGCTAATTGCTATTCTGACTAGAGTGAGATAGAATCTCAGTGTAGTTTTAATTTTCATTTTTCTAATTGCTAGAGATGTTGAACATCTTTTCATATTTTTTGACCATTTGTATTTCTTCTATGAAGTGTCTGCTCAGTTCCTTTGCCCATTTTTGATTGGGTTATTTGCTTTTTGAATTATTTACATATCCTGGAGATTAAAAGAGCAGCACAGGTTCTAATGGACTCATTGTGCCTGTTAAATAAACAAAATCGGATCCTTGAAATCTGTATTAGACTCTGTTTCTCTTTGGTTTTGTCCTAGTCGGATGCCTCTGGTTATTGTCTATTAGTGTTAACCTGAAATGACCTTCCCCAGGGAATCAGAGGTTATTTGAAATGCCATTTTCTGTCTCACTATCCCCTTCAGAAGTAAGTGTTTTTTACAGATCAGTGATTTTTCACAGTATATTCTCTCAGGGCTTTACAAAAAGGCCTTGTGAGGTAAACATAAAGCCTAGGGATAAAGATCTCTCCCCAACTTAGACTGCAGCAGTTTCTAATTTTTACTTCTTCTATATTGTTAGGTTCAATGTTATAGTTTGTATACTTATCTGATGCCAAGAATTGAACCCAGTGCCTCACACATACTAGGCAAGTGCTCTACCACTGAGCCATACAACCCTAGCCCTCAAAGAAGGTTCTTAAAACTCTACAAATAATATTAAATCAGAAACTCCTGTAAGGATTCTTATTTTCACATACCCAGTATTTTTAAGTTGGTGTGATTCTGCATGTTGTGGGATCCCATAGAGATGTTCAAATCCATGTAAGGAGAAATCCAAACCAACGGAGGTAGGACCTGTAGAGCCCAGGATACCAACTGAGTTTCGCTTCTCAAGAGGACAATCAATTAAGGAGATTCAGTTAACAACGGTGTAGCAAGACAACTAGACCAGGTGTAGAAAGACCTGAACTTGCTCTGATAAATCAGTAAATGCTCTGTAAGGACTCTCTGTAAGATGTTATATTCAGGTATTGTTGGGATACAAAAAATGCGTATATAAGACAAAGCTCTGGTCTCTTATTATATTGCCTTAGCTGTGTGCTAAAGCTCTCTGTGTCTTCATTTATAAACAAATTCCTTTATTACCTGTAAAAAACAAGGTTATAAAGTTTTAGATTTTTCTTAAAATTTTGCTAAAATATATTGCATATAAATTTATATACCTATAATATATAAATTTCCTTTAACCAAACACTCCTTTATTTAACAATTAATTTAGAGATAAAAGTGTAAATTAGTAGGAGACAAAATATTTACTTAAATTCATACCTAAGTTAAAACTATTTTACATATCACTTATAGGATTTTTTTGGGGGGAAAAGAATGCTAAAGAGAAAGTAAAAAAGATTATGATGTCACAGAATGGAGAGACAGAACCATATCCTTCACATAAATTTTGAGCATTCTATTAGCCCTGATCATTATACCATGCTGTAAATATGTAGAGCTAGAACAAGGATTCTCAGAGAATTAGGGAAGGTTTGTTATTCTACAGGCAGGGAGAAGGGAGAAAAATGAGTATTTTTCTAACCACATATGCCCATGTATCTGAAAGGGAACTCCTGAGAGATAGACTCTATGTCCTCCTCTAACCCCATCACTAAGCCTGGTGATAAATGTCACAGATGGGCACATGACACCTATGTGAATGATGGGGAGACCTTGAAAAGGTTAAAAACTGCCTTGGAATGTTGACGCTGATACAGTCTATAATTTGGTTTCTCATTACTTGAATCTCATAAAAATAGAATGCAGAATTTGTAGCTGCTTGTTCAATTGGACAGTACAGCAGCATGATAAGCTAGACCCCTCTGCAGGGCCTGTACTTTTCTTACACCCCCCACACTAAAAGCATATAATTACCATTTCTTTGTTGCAATGCATTACTGAAGGATAGAGGACACAAATTTGAGATTTCTGTTTACTTTCAGAAATCACTTGTTTAGGTGCCAAAACTCACGGAACTTTTAGGTAGATACTTAGCCATTTTGAAGTTAGGCCAGTTTCAATTTACCATTAGCTTTGACATCCACAAAACTTCCAAATTTCTCTTCCCAAAGGCCTAGATCCTCTTGATTTTCCTGTTAATAAAAAAGGGGAACTAATTGAACTTATAAATTGTAACAAATGTGGTCGCCACTCTTATAGGCTTATGCCCCTAATTATCAGGAAGTAGTTAATGATTTGAGTTCATTGCCCCTAATCCCCTATATGACTTAAGTTCTCCAATCTTTGAGAGGAAAATGTTAGGTAGCAGCTAGTAATGAGTAGTGAAATATAAACCAATAGCATAGCAGGATCACAGAGTTTCTTTGAAATTGCCTTTAATGAACAATCAAGTAACTTATAGAAGAACAACAGGTGTACTAACCCAGAGAATAAGCAGGTAGAAACAAAGGGAGTCAATTAAGAAATATATCAAGAATGAAAGATCAGTGGGGATAACTCCAGGCAGGTATATTGAGGTCATTGTGAAGTTAGGTTTTATGGACATATGTTTCTCAATCTATTTCAGAAGGGAAATTTCATTAATAGCATGGTGCACTAAGATGAAGTCTGCTTGATTATTGACCCCAGAACCCACATTAACAGAGAACTGACTGGTATTGAATAGGATGGTCACTAGGACAGATCTGGAAAGAACAATCCAGGGCCAAAAACTCCCCAGCCTGAGGTGAGGGAGGAGATAAAACATCTGATTGGTAAAGACTGCAGAAGGTGGTATCTAGTTCTTCTGACAAACATCAAACAGTAATAAACTTGGAACCTACATTGTTTCCTTTATTATTCACTTCCTTTGTTTTGGTGTAGATAGACACAATATCTTTATTTTTATGTGGTGCTGAGGATTGAACCCAGTGCCTCACACTTTTGAGGCAAGCTCTCTACCACTGAGCTACAACTCCAGACCTTTATTGTTCTCTCTTTGGAGATGAACTCCCACTCCTCCACCCCCACCCCCAGTTATGCACACTGCTTGAGCCTTATTATACTTTCACTCATAGTAGAATAATAAAATTCTATTGGTTGGCTCTTCAAGTCTGACTTTACATTTTCTTTTGTAAGGACACAAGAACTTAAGTTTGGAGCTTCATCTCCCAATTCTCCTGTGATGCAACATCTGCACATTTTATTTGGATTATTAAGAAATAATAATAAAAGGAATTCATCTTTTAGAATAAATTTGTGATGTCAGTATATTTAATAAATCAAACCTGTATTTTATATAAATGTCATTAATCATCCTTCTTTTTTCTTGTGGTAAAATAACCTAAAATTTACCATTTTCACCATTTTCTTTTTTTTTTTTTTAGAGAGAAGGAGAGAGAGAGAATTTTTTTTTAATATTTTATTTTTTAGTTATCAGTGGACACAACATCTTTGTTTGTATGTGGTGCTGAGGATCGAACCCAGGCCGCACGCATGCCAGGCGAGCGCGCTACCGCTTGAGCCACATCCCCAGCCCATTTTCACCATTTTCAAGTATGCAGTTCACAGCCTTAAGTAAATTAGCTCTGTTGTGTGATGATGTTCATTATCATCATCTCTCTCTAGAATGTTTTTCATCTTTCCAAACTGAACTTTTCTATCCATTAAATAATAACTCCCCATTTCCTCCCTCTCCACCCATGGTAACTCCTTTCTCTTTCTGTCTCTAAGAATTTGACTGCAGTAGGTACCTCATAAAGTGGAATTATATATAGCATTTGTTCTTTTGTGATTGGCTTATTTCACTTAGTATAATGTTTTCAAGTTACATTCATTTTGCTGCATTACTCAGAATTTCCTTTCTTTTAAAGGCTGAATAATATTCCATTGTAAGTATAATAGTACACTTTGTTTATGTACTCATCATCAAGAGACTTGAGTTGCTTCCTCCTTTTGTCTACTTTGAATAAGCTGCTGTAACTTCACTTTTGAGTATAAACCCAGAAGAACTATTGGATCGTACTATAATTCCATTTTTAATTTTTTGAGGAATAGTTATACCTTATGACATGAATATTTGCATATGAACTAAAGTGATGTGAAAGCACTTTGAAAAATGGTAGTGTTTATATATGCAAAAATTTTTAAAAATTGGGCTGGGCATGTAGTTCAGAGGCAGAGTATTAGCTTAGCAAATATTGAGGCCCTGAGTTCCATCTCCAGCACTGGGGTGATGGGGAGAAAAACATTTTTCATGTAAACATGTGAGGTAAAACATTGAGCTCAAATAATTCTAGTCTGTTTTGAGAGACCCTAAATAGAGATTTGTTTTTGCTGAGATGGGCACTTTTCCCTTTGTCTTCCAATTAGCTAAACTACAGCTATATTCTTTTTTTTTTTTTTTTTAACACAATGCCTTATTTATTTATTTATTTCTTATGTAGTGCTGAGGATGGAACCTAGGTCCCGCCTGTGCTATGCGAGTGCTCTACCGCTGAGCCACAATCCCAGCCCTACAACTATATTCTTATGTTGACTGGGATGGCAATGACTACTTGGGTCCACAATCTTTTTAATCTTTTTAAATTTTTTTAGTTGTTGATGGACCTTTATTTTTTATTTATTCATTTATATGCAGTGTTGAGAATTTAATTCAGTGCCTTACACATGCTAGACAAATGCTTTACCTACACAGCTACAACCCCAGCCCTAAGGTCCATAATCTTTTGATTTAGAGTTATGAACTTTGCCAGATTTTCCTTTTCCTTAGGAGAATTAAAATGTTTTTTAAAAAATTGCATGTATATGAAATGCATATTTCTTTAAAAGGAACTCTTTGTCCATTTCTGGGTTATTTGTTCATAATTAAAAGTTCTGTAAGGTGGACCTCTACATTTTTTTAAAACAAGAGCTCTGGTCTTTTTATATCTATATTTTATTTTATTTATTTTTACGTGGTACTGAGGATCGAACCCAGTGCCTTGCACATGCCAGGCGAGTGCTCTACCACTGAGCCCCAGCACCAGCCCCATGATCTGTGTATTTTTAAAAGGCATGCCTGAATCCTTAATGAAGGCAATAGTATCCATATGGATGGGGTTTAGAGTCCATGAATTCTATCAAAAAATATGAAATTCAAAAACTTTTCTATAGGGATGGTTCAGTTTTTGTCAAATTCTTGCAAAGGGTCTGTGACTCAGGCTTTAACATTATGTTCTTCAAAAGGTCTTTTGCAGATTCCTTGGACAGATTCCTTCTTGTATTCTCCCAATCATTTAGTCAATGCCTGCCTTTCCCAAAAGATTCTAAGTTCCTAACACATGTTTGGGATTTTTTTTAATTCAAGGTTTATTCTTTTTATCCAACATAATGCCTGGAAAACAAGCAGGTACTTAAGATGTATCTGTTTTTACAAATAAATGAATATATGAATGAATAAATGAAGGAAAGAATAAGATGATAAGGCAAGCAAAGAGATGTAATGTCATTTATATGTAGTAGAGTATTAACAAGTACTCTTCTGGATAAGGGAGGAACAGAATTCATTATGTGCCACAAAATCATGATTGTGGTAAAGAACATAAAAAAGATAAATTGTTCCATCTAAATTACCTGAGAGGTATTGATTGATGCACTCTCCTCATTTTCTTTGGTAGTTCTGTTTTAACATAAAGAAAATTATTTCACTCAATGATGGAAAGATGGAATTTTGTTCAATAATAAAGATTTTCATTTTCAACTTTTAAGATGTCATAAATTATATCCTTTAACTTACTAAATATAACACCATTATAAACTCAAGCTTAGAAAATTGAATATTAATGAACAAACCAATAGCTTGATTGTTTACACAAATGTACATGTACTTGAAAATTTGTTAACACTTTAAAATAACTTTATTTTTATTATAAGTGTAATATATGCTCAAATATTATATCATAATATTTCAACAAAAAATATGTAAACAAGGTAGAATATAGCTTTCCCCACTCATTGTACTCTGGTACACAGCAACACAATGTAGTCTCTCAGAATAATTGTGACAATTTATTCTAAAATTTTCTTTTACCCAAAGTTGTATTTGAGTGTTTATCGCCCAACATCTTTTTGTTTTGGTATTATACCACTGAGCTATATCACCATCCCTTTTTATTTTTATTTTTTATTTTGAGGCAGGTCTCACTAAATTGCCCAGGCTGGCCTCAAACTTGAAATTCTCCTGCCTTAGATTTCCAAGTTGCTGGTTTTACAGGTATGCTCCACTGTGTATGGCTTTCCTCACATTCTTTTTGTGCATATGTGTGTGGTATTAGGGACTGGACCCAGGGTTGCTTAACCACTGAGCCACATTCCCAGCCCTTTTAAAATTTTTATTTTGAGATAGGGTCTCACTAAGTTGCTCAGGCTCGCTTTGAACTTACAATCCTCCTGCCTCAGCCTCCTGAGCAGCTGTGATTACAGGCATGCACCACAGCTCTCCTCACATTCTTAACAATAGGGGCTTTACCAATCTTTTGGGTCTTTGCCATTGTAAAATTTTAGAAAAGATAAAGCATTTCAGTTTGTATCTCTATGGTCATTAATGATGTAAATTGCTTTTTTATACATTTTATGGTACTTCTATTTCTTACTCTATGAATTATTTATTCACATTAATTTGTGTCTTTAATGTAAAACACAGAACAGAGATAAAAGAACATAGAGTTTAAAGGATAATAATAAGTGAATAGCTATAAATATACCACTGTGCTTAAGCAACTGAAATAACTTGTTCCTTTGGAGTATCTATACACCTCTTTTCAAATCTATCTGCTTTCACCTCATACCTTCAGAGATAGCACTATGAAAGTTTGTATTAATCATTCTCTTGGTGTTTTAAAAAAGTATTCTCTCTCTCTCACAAACAGACAGACAGACAGACAGACACACACACACACACACACACACATAAATCCCCAAAAATACATTATTAGGTTTTATACATTATTAGGTTTTACCTTTTAAAATTTATATTTTATATACACACACACAGTTTATATTCTTTTGTGATATGCTTTTTTTCACTCAAAATTAATTTTTTGACATTCATTATGTTAACACAACTTGCTATAGTTTATATCCCCCATTTTTAAATTTGTTTATTGTTCTTTTGCTTATGGATTTAGATGATCTTTCCTATATTGTACATATATATATATACACACACACACACACACACACACACACACACACATACATTTTGGTATTAGGGATACTTAACCACTAAGCTACATCCCCAACCTGGAAAAAAATCTATTTATTGATTTATTTTTCTTATTTTCTTATTTTTTTTACTTTTAAGGTACAATATAGAATCCAAATGTACAATAACAATAATCGCAGGTCTGCATGGGTGAACAAAAATCAAAGGATAGCTTTAAATATCTTATACATTTAGGAAACAGTGCTAATAATCAGAAATAGACTTAATCAAAGCATACATATATACAACAGGTCTTCAAATGACAGTGTGGCCTTTCTGTGTCAGATACAATGTATAAAAGAGAACACTTATTGGTTGTCTTGTCAGTAAAATTATATAAACTTTCATTTTATAAGCTTTTACATAAGACTTAGACAAAGCTTAGATAGATAGTTCTCAGATGCATACATATACCTAGTTACATATATTTTGGATATCAACAATATTGTTATAATCTAAATAACAGTTGTTTGTTTAACCAATTACAAAATAATCATTTAAGACTTTAAAACCGCTACAAACCTAATTCCTTTAAGACTTAGTTTCCCCAAGTAATAAAACCTAACAAAAAAAAAACAAGAAAATCATTGATAGATAAGAGCAGATTAAGGATTCTGACTTTTCTTCATATCAGAACATTAAAGTTTAAATAATTTTGTGCTAATTATAGCCAATTTAATCATAAACACAAACTTTTTGAAATTTACCTTCCACAAACCTTCTGTGACTTACTCTGACATTCACAAATTTACATCCTTAGTTTTGTCCCCTTTCATCTTGAACTTTAGTCCAAGAATATTACTTCGCCAGCAAAATACTTTCTCATCAAGATACATTTCTTTCACCTCCTAACTTTCCATACTAAAATATTTCCATACCTATAACTTTCTTTTTTCATTTTAGTTTCAGACCCTTTTTAATTTTTTTTTTAGTTTAAATATCCATATATATTTTCACATATTCATATGTTTATATATATTCATGTTTATATATATATGAATATACCATAACAGCAACCAAATTCCTGCTCATGCATTTTCATATATATATTCAGTTACATAATTATAAACTATAACTAAAACAAAACATTAACCTCAAAAGAAAAATAACTATATACAAATTTACATCCATTTAAGTATTTTCATGTATATTTTTACATATATATTCATTTTTGTATTCCTATATTTGAATAAAAATTTCAATCCCTAAACTAACCCTATTTATTTTTCTATATTAGTCCTATACCCACCATATACCTTGGAGAACCTCTATACATATAAACCATAACATTTTACATGATTGTACCTATGTATTTGGGGATATAAATTCATAAATTCACAAATTCACATAAAAACCCATGGATATTTTATATATATATGCTCATTTCCATAGGTATAACCTAGATTTCACACATAACAATATTGCTTACCTTAAAAATATCCATAGATAAAAGTATATATATATAAATTTTGATATGTGATATTACCTCTATATTCATATTTATATTCATATATATTGACATATATGTTCCAAAGGTAACCCATCCCCTAAACCAAAGCCATAATTCAGAACTAAATCTAGTCTTACCCATAATCATGAGCCTTTTTAACAAATATTATAAATATTACTTTGAATATCCATATATATTTTCACATATATATTCTGTATATATTTATATACATTCATATACATATGTATATACCCTAATGGCAACCAAAATCCTACCTATAAGTTTTTATATATATTCTGTTACATAATCATATCTAGAATCTTAAGAAAATTATAAACATTCATCTCAAAAGAAAAATAATTATATACAAATCCATACCCATTTAAATATTTTCATGTATATTTTTACATATATATTCATATTTGTTTTCATATATATGGAAAAAGTGTTCAAACCCAATATTACTGTGTTGTGGTCTATTTGATTCTTTTTTTTTTTTTTTTTAAATTTTATTTTTAATATTTATTTTTTAGTTCTCGGCGGACACAACACCTTCGTTGGTATGTGGTGCTGAGGATCGAACCCGGGCCGCACGCACTCCAGGCGAGCGCGCTACCAGTTGAGCCACATCCCCAGCCCCTCTATTTGATTCTTGAAGTTGAGAAGGGTTTGCTTGATGTACATAGATGCTCCGTTGTTTGGGTCATAAGTATGATTGTTGTCTTGTTGACATATAATTCCCTTAAGCAATATGAAATATCCTTCTTTGTTCCTTGTGATTAACTTTGGCTTGAAGTCCACGTTATCTGATATGAGAACAGAAACCTCTGCTGTTTATGTCATCCATATGAGTGGTATGTTTTTTCCTATCCTTTCACCATCAGTTTGTGGATGTCTTTGCCTATGAAGTGAGTTTCTTGGAGATAGCACATTGTTGGGTCTTGTTTTTAATCCAATCTGCCAGTCTATGTCTTTTTTAAGAATTTTTTTTAGTTATACATGGACAAAAGATCTTTATTTTGTTTATTTATTTTCATGTGATGCTGAGGATTGAAACCAGTGCCTCACATGTGCAAGGCAAGCGTTCTGCCACTGAGCCACAACCCCAGCCCCAGTCTATGTCTTTTGATTAATGAGTTTAGGCCATTAATGTTCAAGATTATTACTGAAATATGATTTGTGCTCCCAGTTATTTTGGTTTATTTCTACTTTTTAATTTGAATTAGTTTATCCTTTGATTAACTATTCCTTTAATATAGTTCTTCCCTTTGCTGGTTTTCACTTTTTTTTTTCATTTCTTCTTCATGGAATATTTGTTGAGAATATTCTGAAGTGTAGGCTTTCTGGTTTTGAATACTTTTAATTTTTGTTTATCATGGAAGGTTCTTATTTCATCTTCAAATATGAAGTTTAATTTTGCTGAATATAGGATTCTTTGTTAGAGCTCAGTATATGTTATTCCAGCACCTCCTAGCTTTGAGGATCTGGGTTAGGAAATCAGCTACGATCTGTGTTGGTTACCCCCTCCATGTAATCTGATATTTTTCCCCCATAGCCTTTAAAATTCTATCCTTATTCTGTATGCTAGGCATTTTCATTATAATGTGACATGATGTGGGCCTGTTGTAATTTGTACACTGAGATCCTGTAAACCTCTTATATTTGACTTCCCATTTCATTCTTTAGATTTGGAAAATTTTCTGATATTATTTCATTGAAAAGACTGTGTATTCCTTTAGCTTATATCTTCATGCCTTCATCGATCCTGATAAATCTTAAATTTGTTTTTTTCATGTTATTCCATAATTCTTGGAAGTTCTGTTCATGGTTTCTTAACATTTTCTCTCTGGGTCAACTCTATTTTCAAGAGTATATATTCATTGTCTGAGGTTCTGTCTTCCAAATGGTCTAGTCTGTTGGTGATGCTTTCTATTGAATTTTAAATTTGGTTTGTTGTTTCCTTAAT